GTATACAAAATGGACAGCCCCATAGTCAAGCTTAGCTCTGAACCACCTGAATCGGACTGGTTTGAAAAGAGGAGCACTGATGCCAGGATAAAGGAACCTAATGCACCTCTGTCTCTGTCATATACAGACATACACTGTCTCAGCCGCTGACTCTGTCTTGCACCCATGCCCTCTTGCAGCACCTGATCGTGGCCAATGCAGAGGGAACTGAGGAGTCCTTGTCTAGAGCAGGGAACAGGGTAGGTTGGTAACCATTAGGGGTGGGAATCACTAGTGGCCCCACAATATGACATCATCACAATACTTGGGCCACGATACTATATTATTGCAATTTTGAACAATTTGCAAAACAGTGAGTATTGCGATACCATATATTGTGATTTATACAATTTTTATACAAGCTTTTGTCTTTATCTTGACTTAGTCTTACGCAGTATTTCATTTTTATGTAGCAAACCTCATGTGTCAGGTCCATTTCATTTGTACCCTGCTTACCTTCCTAATGTCCTTCCCCAAGTGCTGCCACATTTGTTGTACTTCACCCAGCTCTATAATGTCAGACCTGTGGACGCTGATGGTAAAGTGTTATGGGTGAACTTGATCCAGACACGCTTGCTGGACCATGTTGTGTGGTCCCATAAAGCCAGGCAGAGGAGACCAGTTTCCAGCTCCTGGTTGAGCGTTTCAGATTGGCCATTAGACTGTGGGTGGAACCCAGACAAGAGGCTCACCATGACATCCAGAGGTCCACATAGCTCTTCCCTAAACCCCAAGATGAAATGTGGACCCCTGTCAGAGACCATGTCCACTGGAAATCCATGGAGGCAAAACATGAAGTTCATCATGATATTAGCTGTCTCCTTTGAGGAGGGCAACTAAGGCAAGGCAATGAAATGCACCATCTTGAAAAATCTGTCCACAAAGGTTAGGAAGGAGGGAGTCCAGTGACAAAGTCCAGTGAGATGTGGGACAAGGGGCGCTGTGGAATGGGCAGAGGCAGCAAGTGTGATTGGGGTTTCTGGTGGGAAACTGTGTTAGAGGCACACATAGAGCAGGCAGCAATATCCTCTGATACTTCCTTTCTGAGATTAGGCCACTGAAACCGTTCCAAGAAGACAAACATGGTCTTTGAGACTCCAGGATGGCAGACAATTTTATGTGTGTGAGCCCAATAAATAACTTTACCCCTTAGTTCCGGTACCACAAATGAGCTGTTATCTGGGCATCGGAGGGAGCCCAAATGTGGCTTTGTGCTTTCTTTACCTGGCTTTCAATATCCCATGAGAGTGCAGATACAAAGCAGGAGCCAGGTAAGTTGGATTTAATGACATGACATTTGCTTGACATTTTTAGAACCTTGGGGGTATGATATGGTAAAATTAAACCTGTTAAAAAACAATGACCATCTAGCCTGCCTGGCATTGAGCGGTTTAGCACTTTTGAGATACTCAAAGATCTTATCGTCAGTCAACACCTGAAATTGAACAGTGGCCCCCTTCAACCAATGCCTCCTCTCTTCAAGAGCCATTTTAACTGCTTGCAGTTCTCGGTCACTAATGTTTTTTTTTTTTTTTTGGAGAGGTAAGTGCATGGATGTAATTTGCCATCTAGATGATTTACCTAGGGGAGGACAGCACCAACCCCCACACCAGAGGCATCCACCTGGACTATCAACTGTCAGTCCAGCTTGGGGAGACAGAGGAAAGGTGTGGAGGTGAACCGCTCCTTGAGGTTCAGGGAGGCAGCTTGACAACTGGGGGTCCACTCAAAGGGTCAATGAGGAGAGGTTAGTTCATGCAAAGAAGCAGCAATAGTACCATACTTACTGATGAACTTCCTATAGAAGTTTGCAAGACTTAGAAAGTCTTCACAACATCCTCAACATTCTCCTCCATTGCCTTGCATTCTAGTGCTGGTGGAGAAAATAGTCTACCCTGGGGAGGAGTGGTACCAGGCAATAAGTGAATGGCACAGTCATATTCTCTCTGAGGAGGTAGCAAGGTAAGAATAATAATAAGAGAAACTTTATTTATCCCCAAAGGGAAATTCAATTGTCTGTAGTCTCATTTGTTATGTCTCAAAAAGTCATCTACTATTTAAAGAAGAATTGTACAGTCTAATGGCTGTGGGTACAAAAGGTCTTCTATTTCTTTCTGTCCTGCAGCGAAGAGAGAGGAGCTGTAGGTAGCTTTGGCTTTATGAAAGACCTCAGCTAGATCATTGTAGTAAGGCGAGATAAGAGATAGTCCTAATGAGTACCTGGAGTTGATGAAGATGGAGTGTTTTAGGTAACAACAGGTTAGCAGGCATCCTTGCTTCATGACAAAGTGGGAGGACAATTGTAATGAATCCTGTAGTAGAGTGGGGACTGGTGTTGTAAGCAACTTAGTTGGTGCAGTCATCCTATTCACCAAGCTGCTGGAGAAGCAACTTTGCCAACTAATCAATGAGTTTTCTGTAAAACCTCCCTTTCCCACTAAGACACAGAGGATGATATGGGCTTGCAAGACGTCTTGCATCTTTGTGTTTGATGCTTTCTCCCCAGCAGACTGCAGCGTAGAACAGAACATTTGCCACAGACTGATAAAACATCAGCAGCATCTTACTACAGATGTCTATGTTCTTAGACCGCTCCATCTTATTATCCAGATGTACACCTAGGTATTTATATGATGTCACTACTTCGATGTCCACTCTATAGGTGTTCACTGGCTGGTTTGGATTTATGGAAGTCTATGACCATCTCCTTTGTCTTTGAGGTGTCGAGGAGGAGGCAGTTTTTGTGACTCCAGTCACTGAAGGCTCTTATCAGATCTCTGTATTCAGCTTCTTGTCCATTTCTGATGTGTGCCACCATAGCAGTGTCATCTGAGTATTTCTGGATGTGGCAGGACTCAGTGCTGTATTTGAAGTCTGACGTATACAGTGTGACCAGGAATCACTCCCATCTCTGTGAGCTTGTCTTTGAGTATGGTGGGTTGGATGGTATTGAATGCACTTGAAAAGTCGAAGAACATGATCCTCACATAAACCCCAGGTTCCTCCAGATGAGACAGGGCACGGTGAAGCATGTAGACGACAACATCATCCACCCTATGTGTTCTTTGTATGCAAACTGCAGGGAATCCAGCTTGTCTTTGACCTCAGACCTCAAAAGGCAAAGAATCAGCCACTCCAGGGTTTTCATGATGTACAAAGTGAGGGCCACGGGTCATTGAGTTCAGCAGGACATTTTGTTTTTGGTACTGGCGCAATGCAGGATGTTTTCCACAGAGAAGGTACCCGCCCCAGCTGATCCTGTGGAGAGGTTGACACAGTTCTGCAGCACAGTCTTTAAGCAGCCTTGGACACACACCATCTGGACCAGCTGACTTCCCAGGACAAAGTCTTCCAAGCTCTATCCTCACCCCTGTTTCGGTGACAGACAAGGACTGGTGTTCTAGGAGGGAGGCAGTTGAAGTGGTTGAGACATTTGAACGAGATGGAGGAGGAAGTGGAGATTTGTTGCAGAGAGGAAGGTGGGGTAGCAGTGGAAGTGGGAGTGACAGTAGTGTCAAATCGGTTGAAGAACAGGTTGAGTTCATCGGCTCTTCACATCACCCACCACTGGCTGTCTTTTCTTTTGACTGCTGTGTCCAGAGATGGTACTGATTCCTCTCCTCACTTCACAGATGTTGCTGTGTTGTAGATTATTCTCAATCTCTTTTTTTGTTCTCCAGCTTTGCCATTTTCAGTCTCCTCTTCAACTCTTGTTGCACTTGTTTGAGTCGTTCTTTGTCACCATCTTTAAAAGCTTTCTTTTTCAGGTTAAGGATTGCTTTTATGTCTCTTGTGATCCAGGGTTTGTTGTTGGGGAAACAGCAAACAGTCTTTGTCGGTATAACTGTGTCTCTAAAGAAGTTGACGACAGCTGACAGCTCAGGTGATCGCCCTCTACACATCCTATTGGCTAATGTCAAAATTGCGCCCTATTTATACTGCTTCTCCTGCCTACTTTGCCTGCTGCAACCACTCTGCAAGGCCACAACCGCTCTGCAAGCTCCTACTCATAAGAACACTCAGATCTACATTTTTGCTTTTCCCTACCTTGCTCTTCATCATGTCGATCCTTGCCCATGACAAGGATCCATGGCAGATTGACTGCTTTTCTGAACTGCAAAATCAGCAATGTGAAGTCGACGAAGCCAGTCCTTGCAATGACAGCTGTGTTCAATTCCACAGGAGCTCTCCTCTGGCAAGTAAAACTTCTATTTCTCCCATCTTCATGAATGGCGGAGTCCAGGCTCCTGGAAGTCCTTTAAAAATAACATCACACCTCCAGAGGGTGCCTCATATCAAGAGCTTTTCACCTTGTTTATGGAAAATATCCACATAGAGCCTCCACCTGCAGTTCTCTCTTCCTCCTCTGTCTCCAGAGCGACAGAGAAAAAAAAAATACTGTTCCCGTAGCATCATGGCAGTTCCAGCTTCAGCCACTGCGTCACCGCCGCCGCCCACAGAGTGTGAGGCCCAACCCCAACTACCGGACCCGCGGACGTGGACGACAATCCCATCCTGAACACACTAGCCAGCATCCAGTCATCACTTACCCATATGTATTTAAGGATCGAAGCCTTAGCCTTTGGCACGTGCTAGGCTGTCTTCCTCTATCCCAGCTGTCACACCTGCATTCACCATGCTGAACGATGAGGTTACTCCAGTGACAACCGACAAAAGTGTCACCATCCCATGAAGGACCGTGGGAAGTACGTCCCGATCTCCACCTGCGTCCCATTCTTCCCTCCTGTAGCTGCAATTACACCAAAACCAAGCGAAGAGAGAGGAGCTGTCCACCATCATTGGCCCTTTGGTCTATCAAGGTGTTGTGAAGTGGGTGAACCATGTTCTTTAGAATAGTCTCTACCTTCCTCAGTGTAGATCTCTCCATCACATCCTCCACTGAGTCCAGCCCCTTTTGGCGGGCACCACCAACAACACCACCCTCCCATGGACCGGCTCCGTCACCACCTGGACCCCGGCAGATGCACGAGCCGACTCCCATTGGCACCTCCAGGGGGGAACTGCATCAATAACACGATCCACATTGTCCCCTTCTGCAGTCCCTTTTAGCAGCTAGTCATCATTTGAATATCACACCTTTATTTTTAGCAGCCCTCCTATCCTCTGCATCACTGTCTACAGACTCACCTGCTCCTCATCCTCTTTTATCAGCGAATTCTCTAAACTTTTATCAATTATCCACACCACCTACAACAGGATTTTAACAATTAGTGTTTATAATTTACACATTGACAACACCTCAGACCAGTGGCGATTGCTCTAAGACTGCAAGGGAAGCTCAGCTTCCCTTAAAATGTCACCCCCCCCAAAAAAAGAAAAAGTGGTGAAATACGTACTGCTGTGTGTACATTTCATTAACTAAATACGCACTAGAAAGCCTTCATCTTTTGTTCAGAATCAGCTTCTTATCACAGTGTGATAAGAAGCAGCGAAACTAGACGCTCATTGGATAAATGCTGGGCTTTGTCCCGCCCATCAGACGCTCAGCTTCTCTGGAGTTCTATGGCGAGAGGGCGGTCCCGACTTTCTCCCGGACTCCGAGCTTCTGCATCCATGATTGGTTGAACTGCCTGAGGCAAAATCCTTTTTTGATTGACAGCTAAACAAGCGAATCAGCGATCTTGAAGAATAAAACATGTACCAAAGCATTTTCCAAGTTATTCATTCTGTTGTTCTTAACTGCTCCAGAGACTTTACCGATCCTCAGCGACTTTTGTCTTTGTCAAAAACGACTGCCGTTGTGTTTGGTGACTCTGTTCTGTTACATACAAATAAACAAACACAATTATGATGTAGGCCAGAAAAATGAGCTTCCCCTCCTTGAAAGACCAGCAGCCGCCACTGCCTCAGACCCAGTGTCTAGAGAATCTTTAAATCTTTTTAACTGCTTTGATTTACAGCAGCATGTGACACAGCCGACCCACAGCAGGGGGCACACGCTGGACCTTTTCATAAGCTATGGCCTGTCCGTTAGTGTGCCCTCTGTTGTGGATCTGACTGTGTCTGACCATTTTTGTGTGTTTTTTAAAATCAGCAGTTTTAACCAGAGGGAGAGCCCAGTCAGAACGGTGAGGAAACACTACCTAACTTCTGAAGTGGCAGCAAATTTTATTCATATCCTACAGAACACTTCTCCACAAATTTTACCAGCACCCTGTGATTTTGTCGTTGACAATTTTAACAGCAATCTAAGGTCAACACTGGACTAAGTTGCTCCACTTTAACTAAAACAATTAAGAAAAAAGCAAGACCCCCATGGAGACACGAGTATATCAAACAGCTCAAATGTAACTGCAGGAGTGCTGAAAGGAGATGGAGGAAATCCAAACTAACGGTCCACCTTGAAATTTTTAGACAACATCTCAAAACCTTCTATAGCACAGTCAAACAGGCAAGAACTTCCCACTACAAAAAACTAATTGCTGACAATAAACATAACCCCAGATTTTTTTTTTTTTACAACAATTGATCTTTTAACATGCAATAATTTTAACAGAAACACTGGGTTATCCTCTGATACCCTCTGTGAGGATTTTGCAGACCACTTCAGAAGTAAAATTGACAAGATCAGATCCAGTATTTTATCTCAACAGATTTTAACTGCCAACATACCTGGATAACTGATTTTACCCGAGGAAACACTGGAGAGTTTTGCACTGGTTGACGCGCAGACACTTAGTCGAGTTTTCTCCCAAGTAAACCCCACAACCTGCCTTTTAGATCCAATTCCCACATGGTTTTTTAAACAGTTTTATGGATTCTTTGAGGAACAGCTTTTAAACATTGTAAATTGCTCTCTTCAGACAGGGGTCTTCCCCACCTCCTTTAAAAAGGTGCTGGTGAGGCCTCTTCTGTAGAGGAACAATCTGGATCCCAAGGTTTTTAACAATTACCGACCTGTATCCAACTTACAATTTATCAAGTTTTAGGAGGAACCACGGTACTAAGACAGCCCTCTTAAAAATTTTGGAATTTAGATAATCGCAAACTCACAGTCTTGGTCCTGCTGGATCTAATCACTGCCTTTGATACAGTAGACTCTTTACAGTCAGATACAGTCCAACTATTTTTAATCTTTACATGCTTCCCCTGGGGGCCAATTGATGCCCTTTTAAACTGCATTTTAGACATCGAGTCCTGGATAGCAGCCAACTTCCTGCAGCTCAACCAGGACAAAACAGAGGTTTTAGTTATTGGTCCTGAAGGCCTGAGAGAGACACTTTTACCAAAACTACAAGATTTTAAAGTATCAATATCTGTAAAAAACCTGGGTGTAATTTTCGACTCTGAGCTCAGCTTTATTCCACACATCAAAAACATAGCAAAGGTAGGTTTTTACCACCTCAAGAATATAGCCAGAGTCCGCCCGTTTCTCTCCCAGGCCGCACGGAGGTGCTGATGCATGCTTTTATCTCCTCTCGTTTAGATGATTGTAATGGTATGGTATGGTATGGTATGGTCTTTATTGTCATTGCAACTGTTCACAACGAAATTGCATTTACAGATGGGGAAAGTACACACAAGAGGGAGGGAGAGGAGGAGGTAAAAAAAAGAGACTGCTCTCATTAATATGAGTGCAGTGACAAAAAAAAAAACCTGCCCTGCTCTCTGGCCTCCCCAGAAGAATTTATATACACTTCAGCTATTACAGAATTTAGCTGCAAGAATGCTGACAAGGGCCAGAGGGCGAGAGCATATAATGCCAGTTTTAGCATTGCTGCATTGGCTCCCCGTCCATTTCAGGATTGATTTTAAGGTTCTTTTATTAGTTTTTAGATGTATTAATGGTCGTGGCCCCTCTTATTTATCTGACTTACTTTTACCACATCAACCCTCATGAACTCTGAGGTCCTCCGGCACAGGCCTTTTAAGCTTACACAAAGTCAAAAAAAAAAACACACGGGGAGGCGGCTTTCAGTTTTTATGGTCCCTGGTCGTGGAACAGCCTGCCGGAAAGCCTTCGGGCCGCAGAGACTGTTGATGTTTTTAACAAGGGGCTCAGGACTCACTTTTTTCACCAGGCTTTTTACTAATTGCCATTTCATATTTCTCTTATTACAAATGTTCATTTTAATCGAAGTTCTTAATGTTTATTTTATGTCATTCTATTAATTATCGCTATTCTTAGTCTTTTTCTTTATTTCTTGTCACAGGTTTTTACTTCTTTCACCCCCTTTTTTATATGGTAGAGACTTTTTCCTTATCTGTTCATTTAATATTATTTTCTTGTTTTAGTCTATCAGGTTTTACTCTTTCTTGTCACCATTTTTATCTCTATTTTTATCAACAGTGTTTCCCAGAGGTGGCTCTTTCCTCACGTGATGTCTTGGTGTCAGGCCGAGACATCACATTTCTCCACATCCATGTCTCTCTAACAATAGATCTTAAATTCTCACACTGTGTGTGGTGGTGTGTGTGTATGTGTGGGTGAGTGAGGGTGGGTGTGTGCCTTTGTGTGCGTGTGGGTCCATGGGTGTGTGTGTGTGTGGGTGGGAGGATTGGGTTTTATTGTCATTATCGTTGTTTTTAGCCTCTGTGAGGCACTTTGAATTGCTTTTTTTTTTTGGATGAAAAGTGCCATACAAATAAAGTTGAATTTGAATTTGACTGACCCCAGTGACTGATTTTGACTTAAGACAAACATGTGTGAAAGGGTATACCATTGTGTTGTGAAAAAGGAAAGTGTGTGAGTTGATTGGATGTTTGTGTGTGTCTGTTCTGCTCTGTGTCGGCTAAATTTTTTGACAGTGTTCACAGCCAGACTCTGCATCTGTGTGTGTGTGTGTCATGTTACTCAAAGATTGCTGTATGTTCCTCACTTGTGTTCTTACTCGTCTTCTTTCAAAGTTGTTTATGTGATTACTGTGCTCATTGCAGACATGGTATCAGTTGAGACATGGAAAGTTAAACACTCCTGGGAAAGAGGTTCTGTTCCTAGTATCATGATGAACACTCCTGATTTGAAGGTTTTAGTTTATGCCTGAATATTATGATTTTTTGTTTTTTACACGACTTATGCTCCCTAACAAATTTTCTGTCAAAGCTGCTGAAATAATGTTTGTGAAAGTATAAAAGATAAAAAGGGAAAGAGAAATTAGGTTCCACAAGTGTAAAACTTCTAAAACATCAAATCTAAGGGTTGCTTTAATGCATCAGCTGCTTCTGCCAAAAATGCTATGCTTATCCAACATTTTTTGGGTTGTAAATGCCAATACTGACCATTGTTGTGAGAGTTTATGAGGAAATGTGAAAGTTTTGAATTGAGTGAGTCACATTGAGATCCCCTGCCCCTATCTCTCTGTGCTCGCATAGTGCCTTGCGCTACACTTCTGCTTTTTTTTTTTCCTTTATCCATGGCAAGGGCTGACTGTGTGTTCTGGATTCGATGAAGTCAATGTATTAACTAAGGTTCAGGAGCAGGACCACGCCTCACCACACCTTCAATCACCTGACTAGAATATTTATACACAGCCAGCCCACTACACTGCGTTTGTCTGCAATTCTCTGAGGAGCAGACAGACCGTGCGCCAAGCAGTAAAGCTCGCTCGCATTGAAAGAAACGGTGAAAACCAGCCACTTACCATGGAACTCCAGCTGCACAACTCGGACGAGGATCTGTATGAAGAATTGTTCCAGGCCAACACATCCTTCACCCGGTGAGCATCAATCGGGCCACGGCAGAGCCGCTTGCGCTTCGTGGTTAGCATCCCGCAACCACGCCGTACACATTCACGCTCTCCGAACATCATCCCAATGACTCCCGACAGATCCCCAGCCTCATTTCCACCAAGAAGATCCATAGACCATAGGAGCCACAGTCATCGAAACCTACTCCGCTCCCCATTACATCACTCTCACCACTCAGCCACAGGCATTTCAACACACCACAGTGAAGCCTCGCGAAGATGACAGACTCCGTGCCTACGAACTGAAGACGACATCAGCAACTGGACCGTCGCCCGCCTTCGCCGGTCCCTGAAAGCAAGAGGCATTCCATTCCAATGCAACGACAACAAAGCAAGACTATTCCTACTCTACAATTTCTCCACAAACACCGCAGCTACAGCAGCCGTAAAACCCGCGCTTCATGCTTCCCTGCCAGAGCCAATCACTGTCGGTTACGTCAGGAGTGGCGTCACAGAGCAGCTCCCTCAACCACAGCCCGCCCCATCGGCTCCCCCTGGCAGGGACCAGGTCGTATCACCCCTGTGCCTGCTCCCTCTGTGTCTCACTTCTCTCAAGCTATCACAGCTTTCTTTACTTCCCTTTGTTCGCAGGCTGCACTAAATCCCCGTGCACATACATCTTTTCATCCCAACTTCCCTTTCTCTTCTCTCCCTTCAGCCTCAAACAACAATACGGATTCTGTTCCCCCTCTTCCCACCATAGCCAGTTTCTCAGCTCTCCAAGAAGCCCCTCCAGCAACTCATAACACTGGCTATTCTCAACCCCCTCCATTTCCTACTGATCTATCCTATCAACCCTCCCTCCTCATCTCCACCCCCTCCCTTCCCCAACACCCAAATGTATTTCCACCTTCTGTATTTAATTACACACTAGCCACAGCCGCTCCACCTATTCAACCACCCTCATCCATCAATCCCCTCTCAAAGTTGTGGCATTCCATGCAAGTGCATGGAAGGGCAAGGAACTCTCAGAACAGAGCCATACCGCGGATGTGAAAATGTTTGCAATGAATAATTACTTTTGACTAAACTGGTCCTGACTGAAATGAAGCATAGTGGTAATTCAGGCAGGGCATGGAGTCAACCTAAAAGCCCTCAGTCAGCCAACAGCTCAGGTGATTGCCCTCTTCACATCCTAATGGCTAATGTCAAAATGGTGCCCTATTTAAACTGCTTCTTCTGCCTACTCTGCCATTTGCAACCACTCTGCAACCCACCTCCACTCCAGCTCTTCCTGTTTATGTTGTGCCTGATCAAACCAGTGTCATATGTATTGTCACTGATACTTGCTCTGTTCTGTTGGGGGAGTTTTAATTTATTTATCTTAATCATATTTATTTGCTGCTGCTTTCTCTGGCTTGGCTTTTCATGTATGCACATGAAAGGGAGGGGAGGGGCTCTCCCCTCTCATAGCCGAGGCATTAAATGCAAGTGCATGGAAGGGCAGGGAACTCTCAGAACAGAGCCATACCGCCAGTGTAAAAATGTTTGCTTGTAATAAATAATTAATTTTGACTCAAGTGGTCCTGACTGAATTGGCAATATTTATAGGCCTCTCTTAGCTCCTGCTGACTCTATCATGTGTATTCTATCTACTATTAATTCTCTTGAGGGGCATAATGAACTAATAATTCTCGGTGACTTTCTGGATCATTCCTCTCATTAGGATAGAAATTTAATTGATAGCGTACACCTCACGCAGCTTATTGATGAATCTACAAGAGTTGATTACAGATCTTCATCTCTACTTGATTGGATCTTGGTTTCACATTCTGATAGAATAGTTAAATCTGGTGTTATGTCTGACTCTTTAAGTGATCGCTATTATATTCTGTGTCTGGAAAATAAAATTTCCATGTTCTCCCCCCAAATTTATTACATGCAGACAATGTAAGAAATTTAATGAAGACAACTTTATTCTAGATTTGTTTTCTATTAATTGGGATAGATTTCAGTTAATTCCCTTTGTTGAGGTTGCTTGGACCTTATATTCTGAAATAAACAAAATTATTGATAAGCATGCTCCACTGAAGACCAGTCAAAGGAAGACAGGACTGGATATAGCTCATCTAGGGACCCTTTGGACTGGAACATGTATAAATCATTAAGAAATGAATGTACACTTAAAACCAGAAGCGCAAAGTCTACAAAGATGGTTTGTCCCACAATTTTCATAATCCAAGACAGTTTTTGGAATCAATTGAATCATATTCTGAAGAAAAATAACAAAAAAACTTTAAATCAGATCCAATTTAACAATGGGCATATTTCAGATCCATCTCTTATTTCAAATGCTTTTAATCATCCTTTCTCTTCCATCTGGAGCTCTTATCACTTTGGCTCTTATTGGACTTGCAGTCCCTCACATAGTTCTTTCTCTGAACACTCTTTTTCCTTTAAAAAAATCATGCCTAATGAAGTGTTCCTTGCTCTATGTCAGTTGAAAGATACTGCTTGTGCTGGTCCAGATGGCTTTGAAGCTAAGTTTATCAAACTTGCTGCACATGTTTTGATGTATCTCCCTTCTGACTTGTTTAATCCGTCTATGTCCATCTTCTCAATCCCTAAGACTTGGAAATGTGCTAAGGTTACCCCCCTTTTCAAAGGTGGAGATTCCTCTGATGTAAAAAAAAATAATAATATTGGCCTATTTCTATTGATTGTACTGTTGCCAAAATTTTTGAAAAGCTTATTTTTTATCAACTTTCACATTTGAATCCTCTTAATATTTTGTCACCATTTCAATCAGGATTCAGACCATGGGCTCTATTTTCGTTCGCGCCGGTGAGGCGGCGGAGGGCGGCGAGCCCCGCACAGTTGTATTTTCGTCTGGCGGAGCCCGGCGTAAGGCGAGTTTGGTATTTTCGTGGACTGAGTCGCACGGAGGCGAGCCGAGATCCGCCAAGCTGGGCGTGGTGGCGTGGCAGGGGGAGGTGTTGACAGAATCAGCTGGCGCAGTGACATTTTCGTGCTCGCCACCGGCGTGTAACGTGCGCTGAAAGCTCGCCGATTCAAACCTGGTCAGCTTTCAGCGCAAGGCGGAACGCAGCTGGTCTAGTAGTATTTTGGTAGACCGGCGGCGTATCGACATACGTCACTGATGCCTCACCGGCAGGTTTCCACAGTGTCAGGCAGATTTCAGTGCAATAAATAATCATCAACATACATTTAGATCTATATCGATATATTCTGATCTATATCTGATCTGATGAGCGCGTTTGGCACGCGTTTGGCACGCGTTTGGGCACACAACCTGACCGAATCAATACAGCTGAAACTGCATCAAATTAAATTAAATATCTAGTAAATAAACACATGATGAAGTTAACAAGATATGTAATGTGTCTCCCTCCTTTTCTTTCTTCCTCTTATTTCTCGCACAGCTCGACCTGGACACGTCTCCGTGTCCTCTGTCCGTCTTGCTTGCTGCTGCGGCTGAACAGATGATTTGTTTCAGTGCTCAGATGCGTGATCTACTTTAAGCCGACATACGGATATTATAATATTCAGTTTTGTGGGCCAAATTTATTTTATATGCCAACATCTATGAAAGAAAGAGCCAGGCCACGGAGCGCGATGCGTCATTTACACACAGATGGTTCCAATTTTAATGCCATTTTTGGAGTTGTGCGCTAAACCCACCTTTGTCACGTGAGGTTTGAATATATGCAACTTTATGTGAGTGTCTTTATTTGTGGAAAAGGGTGTTTGTCTTACCAGTGGGTCCAACATTACACACACCAAATCCATCTGTGCTCAGATGAGAGAGTGTGGAGGACACTTGTTGAGCAGCTGCCCTCTGTCGCCATCGTGTGGCATAACTGTCTTCAGACATCTCTCGATCTCTTTGACTACTTCATGAAAATAGTAATACGCCTCGCCGGTGGTGGATTTAAAGGCAAGGAGAGGAGCCTATGTGATTGGTGAAAACAGGTCTCGGCTGTGTTAAATCTACTACACGCCCTCTCTCCTCCCCGTCTACGACTTATGCTGCTGGGAGGAGCTGAGTTAGGGAGGGGGGATACTTACGCCGGGCTGCGCGGCTCACCAAAATACCAAAATGTGCTTGGGAACGCCTTGTCAGCGCAGCGGATCTGATTGACGCTGCGCTTGCGGCAGATCTCCGGCGAGGCACCAAAATAGAGCCCCATATTTCTACCACCACAGCTATGTTGAAATTTACAAATGATGTGTGCTCTTCCTTTGAAAAGGGTCAATTCACTGGAGCAATTCTCATTGATCTGTCTAAAGCCTTTGATTTGGGTGACCATTATTTACTTTCGATAAACTTTTTGCTATTGGTCTTGATCAAAATGCTCTGCTTTGGTTTAACGCCTATCTCCACAATTGTCGTCAATGTGTTGTTTTTCAGGGTCGTACATCTAACTTTATAACTATTGAAAAGGGTGTCCCACAAGGCTCTACTATAGGCCCTGTTAATGACAGGGCCTATGACACTGTTATTTACAATTCAAACTTTGACTTATCTCAAATCCAGAATTCTTTACAGTTTGATTTTGATATGGTTCAAGACTGGTTCAGTAGTGCAAGCTTGTATTGAACAAAAAGAAGTCCTGCAGTATAATTTTCGGTACACGTCACCTCCGACCTCAACAAGTTGACTTTAACATTCATTTTTCTTATGGATCTCTTGTTGACAAAGTTGGTTCAGTTAAATACCTTGGACTTTGAATTGATTCAGAACTGACCTTCAAACCACATATTGATTACATTGTCAAAAAGTCATATGGTTGTCTTGCATTACTGTATTGTTCAAATAATTGTTTTACTCTAAATGTCAGAAAAAGACTAATATTACAACTGATATTACCACTTGTTGGTTATGCTGATATACTTTACCATAACGATTCTGACTCTCATCTCAAACCTCTTTATGTATTATTTAATTCTTTATGTAGATTTGTTTTGAGATGTCCTTTTAGAACACGTCACTGCTTTATGTTTGACTCACTGAACTGGTTACAACCTAAATCAAGACGGCTATTTCATTGGCTTCATTTCCTTTTTAAAATGTATTTCTATTGCTCTTCATATGAGACATATGAACTACCCATTTTTATTTGTTAGAATCTTTAAAGAAGTTGGCAAAAGATCATTCTAGTATAAAGCCCCTTCGGATTGGAATAACCTTCCTCTTTCTTTGTGTTCTATTTTTTCTTTTTATCACTTTAGAATGGCACTATACTCCCATCTCAAAACAAATTGCTCATGTTTATGATTTATTTTCTTTACATTTTTGCATTTATGTTCACATTATTTATCCTTGGTAATAAGTTTTGTTTATTTTGTATGTTAGGTGTATGTTGGTTGGGGTTGTGTGTGGGATTAGGGTGAGCAAGATGTCTGTATTTGTTATATGTTGTGTATGTTGTGTATGTTAATGTATGTTAATGTATTGTAATGTGTCCTGAGTTCTATGTAGGGGAGAGTGGGGTAAGATGAGCCATTTTTCATATTTCGAATCACTACATCAAGGCAATCATAGTTTTGTCTCTAACTAGTATATCTGCATATATTTCAAGATGTTGTGCATCCCTGCAAACCAACAGAATAAGTGTAAACATAACTGTCTTGATAATATAGCATGCCAAAATTAAAGTAGTCTCTTATGGTCAACTTACCCTGTGTATGGGGGTAAAATGTTAGTGGAGGCACAGACATATTACAACAAGCAGCAAGTAGGGGAATTTTTGTGTCCCCTTGTTGCAGTGCCTTGTTTTTAATGTCCATGAATGCATGATGTTTTTAGAGAAAATCCCAACCTAAGATCACTGGCTGGTAAGTACCTCTAAGAGCTTCAAAATACTGCTTAACTTGCCTAAAGTGTCCGAGTGCTGTACATTGACTGAACAAGCTGGTACAAAGGAGGCTCTCATGGGGCACTTTTTCAAAGCTGGATGAGAGCTTCAAAAATTTTCACTCACAATACAGACAAAAGAGCAATAATCAATTAATGCACAAATTTCTATGCCCTCAATTATGGCAAAAACGTTGTAGGAAACAGAATCATCAGGTTGTGAGTCACTTTTTTCCAGGTCAATGTGGGGCTGCGATATAAAAGCTGATGTTTGCCCCTCAACAGCAGCAAGTGGAAGTTTCCCTGACGATTGTTGCCTGTGTGTGTGGGCTTCTCTGGAGACTGAAAGCGAATGCTGATTCTTGTGTATGGACTCGCATCCCATTTCTCTGTGGAGCTGTGCATAAGCATTGTCTGTTTCTGCTACTGTCATTGTCATGATGCTCATACCTTGAGCAATGTTGAGGTGGATGTGGTGAAGAGTCCCGGTTGTCTCTTTTGTCCCACTCAGGGTTCCTCTGACATACAGTACGAGAATGAGGAACATTCACAGCAAGACTCTTGATCAAATCCATAACATGGCTCTGGTGTGCAATGCTCTCGAGGATATTTTCTGGCACAATAAGGGGAAGGAGAGGGGCTGCATACCTTGTAATGAGCATCATGGAAAGAGGACCTGTCAGGTCTGACGTCCAAACACTGAGGAGGATGATTGTATAATTCTTTTAACTGTTGTCCTTCATACTTTGATAGCTTGATACAGTAACAGTAAGCTGATCAACTGCATGTAGAAGTTTGTCATCATTAGGTTTTGGTTGAACCATGGCTACCTGGTTTGATGGCAGTTTGTGCTGGTCCTGCAGATGTCAGTTGCAGCGCTGCATGTGCCCTCTCACAGCAGCTGGCAATACACAGAGCATCCTCCAGACTCTCTGCGCCCATCCCATGAACTTTTGATTGCAAATCTGAGTCCAAACCAGTAACAAAAAGGCAAAATTTCTCTCCGTGTGCACTGTGGTCATACTTAGTAAAGGCTTCTAGTACAAGACATGTGATGTGTGCACTGTACACCTCTGAACTCTCACCTGGCTCCCGAGTATGATCATTGGCGTGTGTTTGGAAGAATGGCAGGGAGTACTTTCATCCAATACTTCTCTGAGCTTATCTTTACTGAATCCCAATCCTTTTGAATTACAGGAGGCAAACTGTCCAAATACAAAAAAAGCAGCATCAGCTAGGCATGTAGAAAGAACTGAGGCCACCGCTGTACACAAATCTGCATCCGAAGAAGTTATAGCTTGCACAGCTATTTCAAAGCATCAAGACCTACTCAGGATAGACTCAGTCCCATCTCTTTTAAAAGTAGATCGAAGATCTATTTTCCAAGCAATTGTGACAACCTCATGCTATTTTGCTGGCATTATCCATTTCAGATGCAGGTGGGTACAGCTAGGTGGAGTCGCCATGGATTAAGAACACTTGGGTCCTTTGTTCTCAATCTATATAGCAGGCTGAAGGCATTCATCCTAGGGAGTTGGTTTGGCATGCTGCTCCCACACATTATTTTTATTTTTATTTTTTTGGGGCGTTTTGTTTCACAGCCAACATTGCATCAGCATCTTCACTCATGCATGCACACATCACACCACTGATCTACCGATTTCCGGGCTACATAATAGGAGTTTTTGTAAACAAATATTGAATTGATACATTTGCTCTATGTCTCCTCTCGGTTTTTGTCCCTGGCCCTGAGCTGGCCGTGACAACAGTTAAAAATGTGGGGTTATGGGAGCATGACAGTATCCACTGGGCCCTGTCAGTGCATGCCTGAAGGCTGCTCAAGCGTTCAATCTCACTTTCATCCTCCAACATCATGGCACAACTTCTGCAACTTCTCTTCGCGTCTGTGCACCTGCAAGTGGTAATGGCTCCCATTGTTCATGGTAGGGATCAGCTGCTGGCCCTATGTTTGTTTTTATTCATTTATTATTTTTTTTAAACAATTTTATTGATTTTTCAATATCATAATAAACAAGGCAAAAGGAATGACAAGTCTGCTGCATAGCACTGCAATGTCCATATCCAACCATACTGTGGCGGGTGTGGGTCTGAACCCAAAACCAGCCAGACAGGGGTAAGGTTTAACAGGTTTTATTTTTGGAATAATGTGCAGACACCAAGGTAGTCCGGAGTCCAGAGTTCCTCCCGAGGATATCTTCCAAGTAAACGAAGACAAACCTGTTTAGCATATCTCGGAGGACATCATTCATGAGGGCTTGGAAGAGGGCTGAAGCATTAGTGAGTCCAAACAGCATCACCAAATACTCGAAGTGGCCTAGAGGAGGATTAAACACTGTCTTCCATTCATCACCGTCCTTGATCCAGACCAGGTGATACATGCTCCGAAGGTCTAGCTTGGAAAAAATCCTGGCGCTACACAGGGGCCCAAACGAGGGATCAATGAAAGGCAGGGGATACTTGTTTTTAACTGAGATATCATATATATTATTATAGATAATTATAGATTATTATAGATAATCGCTTCCCTCTCTGGACGGGACAGGTTGTAGAGTCTGCTACTGGGAAGGGGAGCATCGGGGAGGAGATCAATGGCACAGTCGTAAGGGCGACGGAAAGTGCCAGCTCCTTACTAAAGACGGTGGGGAGGTCATGGTGGTCAGGGGAAACAGCCGAGTGGGATGGTTGGTCTGGTGCTGCCCTCTTTCGGTTGTAGAAGGGATTGGCGGAGCGAAGGCAGTGTGAGTGTTAGTGAACACTCCAGTCGATGATGATGGAGGTCTTCCAGTTGATGTGGGGGTTATGGAGTTGCAACAAGGGGAGTCCGAGTACTATGGGGGAGTGTGGAGAGGGGATGAGGAACAGCCGGATGTCTTCTTGGTGGTTTCAGGAGATGATGAGGGTTAGAGGAGCAGTGTGATAGGTGACGGTGGCTATTAGACGGCCGTCTAACACAGTAACCCTCTTTGGAAAGGAAAGGGGCTCTAGGGAGATCAAGGTGATCAGCCAGGTCTTGGTGAATAAAGTTGTCGTCAGCACCAGAGTCAATGAGGGTTTGGAGAGACAGAGAATCCTTCCCCCAGAGCAGACAGGAGGGAACAGAGATGCGTTTAGGAGAGTTGGGGGTTGTGGAGGTTTGGCTCACCAGGGTGCTCTCCTTCATTGGTGAGCTCGACCGTTTAACTTCAGGGGACAGGAGGCGAGAAAATGGCCTGCTTGGCCACAGAAGATGCACAACTTCTGGGAAATTCTCCTTTGCCTTTCCTTGGGATGCAACTGCGTCTGTCCCAGCTGCATGGGCTCCTCGGGTGGTGTCACAGGCTGAACCGGAGAGGATGGTTGGGGAGCTGATCTAGCCAAACCTACAGAGGGAGCTGTTACACTCGGTTTGGAGGTAGCCATCTGAGCATTTTCCCTGCGTCTTTCTCTCAAGCAATTGTCAATGTGGATAACTAAAGAAATCCAGAAATAATGTCTATGCCCAAATATTTCATATCTTTGCTTTTCGAAATAAAGAGTGTGCCTGCTACGTGTACTTGAAATGTATGTTGATTCAAGGGCATTGCCTCACTCTTACTCCAATTTATCTTATAACCTGAGAGGTACCTGAAGTTTTCCACTTGTTCAAGCAGGGCAGATAATGACTCATTTAGAGTGACTAATATGTCATCAGCATACAAATTTAATTTAGAATTATAGTTATGCATTGAAATAGAATCTTAGAATCATTATTTAAAACACTGAGAGGTCTATAGTTTTCCATCTTTTTATGGTCTTTTCCAGGTTTGGGCAAGACAGTAATGATGGCTCATTGCATAGTAGGAGTCATCAAATCAGTTTCAATTGCATTATTAAAGAGCATTTAAAGGATAGGTGAAAGAACTTTGCTGTAGCTTTTATAAAATTCTATAGTGACGCCATCTTCACCAGGGGTTTTACCTGAGGCTAATTTGCTAATTGCTTGCTCAATTTGTGACAGCAGTAGGAGACTCCATCTCTGCATTCTCACTGACACTAAGAGCTGGGAGATCCAGCCCATTAAAGAATTCATTAAGGTCTCCTTTGCTTTATATTCTGATGTATAAAGATTAGAGTGAAATTGTTTGAATGCCAAGTTAAGAGAGGTATTATCATTATGAGGTGTGCCTTTACTGTCACTAATAGCTGGTATAAAGTGCATGTTCTCCACTTACTTTAATTTGTGAGCAAGCATTTTACCTGCCTTATCCCCTTATTTAAAATGTCTGTTACGTAGTTGGAAAAGAGCATAAGCTGTTTCTTCATGAAACAGGCTTTGCAGATCAGCTTTAACCATGGGTATAGACCTCCTTTGTAACGGGTATTGACTGGACCCAATTGCAGCACAAACAAGCAGGTTCACTCGAACAACAGTCTTTATTTGACACCAAACCAAATGAAGCAGCAGAGTATAGTGGGATTCGAATCCAGGTCTTCCAGGTGCCAAGCGAGCAGGTTAGCGGAGGACCACAGGGCAGGCAAATCTGGGACTCATTAGCAGGGAATTGTCCACAGTCTCTGACACCTGACATCTCCCCCGCAGAACAGTCCTCCTGGACAGGTGGGGGCAAGGTGCAGGTTCCTCGACGAGCTGACTCATTGGCTGGCTGGTCGGGATGTTGCCGATGAAAGTTGGCCACGAGGTTGGGGTCCAAAATGTGGCGAGCAGGAACCCAAGAATCTCTCCTCAGGACCGTAACCCTCCCAGTCCACGAGGTACTGGAGACCCCTACACTGCCGCCGAGAATGAATTAGGCGGCGCACTACATACACCGGACCGCCGTTGACCATTCGTGGAGGGGGAGGTGGTGGTGCCGCAGGGACCAAGGTGCTGTTGTGGACTGGCTAAACCTTGGAGACATGGAAGGTAGGGTGTACTCTCATGGAACGTGGGAGTTTCAACCGGACTGTCACTGGGTTGATGACCCTCTGAATGGTGAAAGGCCCAATGAACCTTGGTGACATCTTTTTGGATTCCACCCGGAGAGGTAAGTCTTGGGTGGAGAGCCACACCTGCTGACCTGCTTGGTAGGTAGGTAATGACCCACAGAATGGAGGAGGGTGGATCGAGCCTGGAGCCATGTTCAGCGGCAGCAACGGATGAAGGCTTGGACTGATGGACAGGAGAGCTCCTTCTCCTGGGCTGGAAAAAGTGGTGGTTGATAGCCGTAAGCACACTGGAATGGAGAGAGGCTAGTAGCAGAGCAGACGAGGGAGTTGTGAGCATATTCAACCCACAATAGTTTTGACGCCCAGGAAGAGGGGTTCTGGGAGGCCACGCACCGCAGGGCTGTTTCCATTTCTTGATTCATACGCTCAGTCTGTCCATTGGTCTGAGGATGGAATCCAGAGGACAGACTGGCGGTAACACCCAGTAGACTGCAGAACTCCCTCCAAAACACGGAAGAAAACTGGGGACCACGGTCCGACACCACATCAACAGGGAGACCATGAAGACGGAAAACATGGAGCCGAACCAACTGTGCAGTCTCTTTAGCAGTGGGAAGCTTGGGCAGAGGCACGAAGTGGACCATCTTGCTGAAGCGGTCCACGATGGTCAGGATGACAGTGTGACCATCAGAGATGGGAAGACCGGTGACAAAGTCCAAAGATATGTGAGACCATGGGCGGTGAGGAACAAGAAGAGGTTGTAGTAGCCCAGCAGGAGGCCGACAGGAAGTCTTATGTTGGCTGCAGGTTGGACAGGCCTTGACGAATTCCCGGACGTCCTCTTGCAAGGTGGGCCACCAGAGATGTTGGAGGAGGGCATGCCGTGTCCGTTGAATCCCAGGGTGGCAAGAGAGCTTGGAGGAGTGGGCCCATTGTAACACCTCTGACCTCAAGGCTGGTGGAACAAAAAGGCAGTTAGATGGGCAGGAGCTGGGGCCCGGCTGTCCTTCTGTGGCTGCCCTCACCTTCTCCTCAATGTCCCAGGTCAACGTGGCTACGAGGCAGGATGTAGGGAGGATGGTCTCAGCTCCATCAACCGAATCATCTGTCTTCTGGAACTGTCGGGACAGGGCATCAGGCTTGACTTTGCGGGAACCAGGACGTTAACAGAGGGTGAAATTAAAACGGGCAAAGAACAGGGACCAGCGGGCCTGGCGAGAGTTCAGACTCTTTGCAGAGCATGTGTACTCCAGATTCTTTTGATCAGTCCACACAAGAAAAGGTTCCTTCGTGCCCTCCAACCAATGGCGCCACTCTTCTAAGGCCATCTTTACTGCCAAGAGCTCGCTGTTACCAATGTCGTAGTTTCTTTCTGCAGAGGACAGACGTCGGGAGAAGAAGGCACAGGGATGGAGCTTTTGGTCAGTGCATGAGTGCTGAGACAAGATGGCCCCCACACCAACATCAGAGGCATCCACCTCGACCACAAACTGGTGTTCAGAGTCAGGCATCAGGGGGATGGGCGATGAGGTGAACCGATCCTTGAGGAACTGGAAGGCCGCTGCAGCTGCAGAAGACCACTGAAAGGGCACTTTGGGGGAGGTCAGAGTGGTGAAAGGGGCTGCTACTGAGCTGTAGTTGCGGATGAAGTGACGGTAGAAGTTGGTGAACCCCAGGAAGCGCTGAAGCTGCTTGCGGTTCTCCGAAACAGGCCAGGAGGTAACAGCTGAGACCTTGGCTGGGTCCATCTGGATGTTGCCTTGTGCCACAATGTACCCCAGAAAAGATGCTGAAGGAACATGGAACTCGTACTTTTCTGCTTTAATGTACAGGGAGTTCTCCAAGAGGTGCTGAAGGACGGACTGGACATGATGAATGTGTTGCTCTTTGGACTGGGAGAAGATGAGTATATCAATGAGGTAAACAAAGACATACTGGTTGATCATGTCTCGCAGAACAGCATTAATCAGAGCCTGGAAGACGGCAGGGGCATTGGTGAGAACAAACGGCATTACGAGGTACTCGTAGTGTCCGGTAGGGGTGTAGAATGCTGTCTTCCATTCATCTCCTTCTCTGATGCGGACGAGGTGGTAGGCATTGCGTAGGTTGAGTTTAGAGAAAATGGTGGCCCCCTGGAGCAGTTCAAAGGCAGTGGAGATGAGTGGCAGTGGGTAACGGTTCTTTACTGTGATCTTCATTCAGTCCTCTGTAATCTATGCAAGGTCTTGTCCTTCTTCTCAACAAAGAAAAACCCTGCTCCAGCAGGGGATGAAGAGGGACGAATGATGCCTGCAGCCAAGGAGTCGTTTATGTACGTCTCCATGGCCCTTCTTTCAGGTTCAGACAGGGAGTACAGGCGACCCTTGGGAGGTGATGAACCAGGCAGGAGATCAATGGCGCAGTCATAGGGGTGGTGTGGAGGCAGAAAGGTGGCTCTGGCTTTACTGAAGACCTGGCGGAAGTCATGGTTCTTGGGTGGCACCCCACTGAGGTCAGGTGACAAACTGGAGCTACACCCGGAGGGATGAAGCGGAACTGAGGCTTGCTGCAGGCACCTCTGATGACAGGAGGAACTTCCCTCCCGGATGGTCCCAGTTGCCCAGTCGATGTGAGGATTGTGAAGACAGAGCCATGGATATCCCAGGATAAGTGGCAGGCAGGAAGAGCTCAGGATGTGAAACTGGATGGTTTCATGATGATTACCAGACAGTAGCAGGTGAACAGGAGAGGTCTGATGCGTGACGGTGCCCATGACGTGTCCATCTAAGGCTCGAGCAGGAACCAGGTGAGGCAAAGGAACCCGCTCAAGCCCCAGCTGAAGGACCACCTCCTCGTCAATGATGCTGGCATCAGCCCCGGACTCAATGAAGATAGCCAAGGTGTGGGGGCCATCTGGAAGGAGGAGGCGGCCTTGGAGCAGGGGTCACTGGCTTTGGGGAGGTGACATGGTAGTTAAGCTCACCAGGGTCTCCCCAACTACTGAAGAGCTCTGGCTTTTGCTGGACAGCCGGAGATGTAGTGTCCCGCTGCCCCACAATAGAGGCAGAGATTGGACTTACGTCAACGCTCTCTCTCTTCCAAGGAGAGGGAGGTGCTGCCCAACTGCATGGGCTCTGGATCCTGAAACTGCTGACCCAATGAGGCGGTGTTGGCTGCAGCAGCACCCCCACGGGAGCGAGGTGGACGAGAATGTTGGGTTCCCCCTTGACGCTTCTCTCGTCGACGAGTCTGGACATGAAGATCGATGCAGATGGCCAAATCAATCACCCCGTCCAAGGTGAGGGAGGTGTCACGTGAAACCAGTTCATCCTTAATGTAATCAGCCAACCCATGGAGAAAGGCATCACAGAGAGCTGCACTGTTGCAACTGCTTTGGCTGGCTCTGGTGCGGAAATCAATGGAATAGTCAGCCACTGTTCGTTCACCTTGTTTCAGTCCCATCAGTCCCCTTGCCGAATCAGAACCAGAATTCTCAAACCCCAAAACCTTCCGAAGCTCAGCAGCAAACAGGTCAAAGGAAGCACAGGCTGGAGACTGCCTCTCCCACTCAGCTGTTCCCCATAGTCGAGCTCTGCCTGTCAGGTGGTTAATGACAAACGCTACCTTCGCCGGTTCTGTGGCGAATGTGGGTCATTCCATGTCAATTCAACCAAGAATCTCCACTCACGTCACAGATTTTGATTAAATTTGGTGGAGTGATTGGCCTTCAAGAGAAACTGTCAGATCTCAAATATTTTTTTTCAAAGCCATCTAATTAGTGAGATAGGGGCTAACAAATTTTTGGCTAATTAGCATGACATGCATTACAAAAGTGTTCATATCTCTGGAAGTATGGCACCTAGAGAGCTGATTCGGGTGTCATTTTAAAGCTCTCTTCAAGTTCTATCTTTTTGGTCATAACATTTCTTCCCAAATTGGGCCAGAAAAAAATAATAAAAGACCAAAAACTTAAATTGGAAATAGCAAAAAACGTGTGTCCTTCAATTTTTTTCATATTCACACTAAAGAAAGACTATCATGTCCACTAGCATCCCTGCAAGTTTCAGGATGGACATTCTATAACTTTTTGAGTAATCAGTCAAAATGCATGGTACATTAGGTCAAAAATCGCCATATTTGGCACATTATACAGTCCTGACCTTATCTGGAGTCAGCCCCACTTGCCTGCTTGTGTAAAATATTACTTCCTCATAGTGCAAAATGCTTTTTTTGGGTGTTTTCATTTGTATGTTATCCCACATTTATATGAAAAATGGCTAGAATAGCTTATTTTTGCTCAGTTTTCCATTGCATTTCATTTCTATTTGCACCTATATCCAGAATACGAATGAACTTAGCTTCATGGCAGAATCACTTGGACATACCTGCATGTCCTGGATCCTAGGGTTGACAAATAACTTCTACCTATGCACCCTGAAATGTTGTTGCTGGTTTCCCTGTGAAGTATTCCAGGCTATTTATCCTGAGCCCTGTCAATGTTTCCTTTATACTTCAAAAGTACTTTTAGCATGGTGATCAAGCTTTGTGCAGATTTTCAATATTGTTAGTTTGTTTCCAAATAGGAAAGAATGTATGAACTACAAAGAGTTTGATAGCGTCAGTGTAAGGAACGATAGTTCCCCAGTCGTCTAGGTCCTCTGGCTTTCAGTACATTCAAATCTTTGAGAAAGAGCATATCAGGAGAGCTACAGTAAAATAATTTCTCTTGAGTAGTGAATAATGGTGCTCTGTTGCCCTGAGTCTCAACTTATTGATGCACTTTGAAGCAGAGGCAAGTCGGGTAAGCTACAAGAATGAGCTGGCACTTCATCTACCATATTACTGTATCAAGGAAATTGACCAAGACTGAATCCTAAAATCTGGATTCCCGCGAGCAAGTATTGGAAGCTCTTTCTCAAAGATTTGCATGTACTGAAAGCCAGAAGACCTAGACGACTCGGGAACCATCATTCCAAAAGCATTTTGCACTATGAAGGAAGTAATATTTTACACAAGCAGGCAAGTGGAGCTAACTCCAGATGAGGTCAGGACTGTATAATGTGCCAAATATGGTGGTTTTCGACCTAACGTACCACACATTTGGACTGATTACTCAAAAAGTTATGGAATGCCCATCCTGAAACTTGCAGGGATGCTAGTAGACATGATAGTCTTTCTTTAGTGTGAATATGAAAAAAATTGAAGGACACACGTTTTTTGCTATTTCCAATTTAAGTTTTTGGTCTTTTATTATTTTTTTCTGGCCCAATTTGGGAAGAAATGTTATGAACAAAAAGATAGAACTTGAAGAGAGCTTTAAAATGACACCCGAATCAATTTGTTAGCCCCTATCTCACTAATTAGATGGCTTTAACAAAAATATTTGAGATCTGACAGTTTCTCATGAAGGCCAATCACTCCACCAAATTTCATCAAAATCTGTGACGTGAGTGGAGATTCTTGGTTGAATTGACATGGAATGACCCACGTGTGGGGCTGCAGGGCAAACAGGAGAGAACAGTTAGTGAGGAAGGGGCAACAAGTCTCTCGATCTCCGTCATAACGCTCCGGGGTTCCCACCCGGGGCTCAGGAGCATTGCTGGGTGGAGAAGAGGTGGGTAAAGGTGCAGGAGCAGAAGGTGAAGCTTCCAAAGAAGAGGCAAATCCAGCAGATGAGGGGAGCTGGGTTAGTTGAGATGCTAGCTGTTGCATCTGTGCGGCCAAAACTGCTAGTGTTTGTCCCTGAGTCTCGGCAGCCTGTCTGGCTTCAGCGGCAGCCGCAGTCATCATGGCCTCGTGTTGCTGCAGGACACCCTCAACTCTCTTGAGGCAACTCAGTGGTGAGAGATTGTGTGCTGGGTCCATAGTTTGGCCAGATTGTACTGTAACGGGTATTGACTGGACCCAATTGCAGCACAAGCAAGCAGGTTCACTCAAACAACAGTCTTTATTTGACACCAAACCAAATGAAGCAGCAAAGTATAGCAGGTGGGTATGGCAGGATTCAAACCCAGGTCTTTCAGGTGCCAGGCGAGCAGGTTAGCGGAGGACCACAGGGCAGGCAAGAAATCTGGAACTCATGAGCAGGGAATTGTCCACAGTCTCAATTTGCTCTACAAGTGTGGTGAAGGGGAAAACGCTCAAACTCACAGCTGGAGGAAGATTTCTGGGAGAGTGGTTCAGGTGAGGACTGGGTGAGGATCCAGAGCTTGCAATGGAGCTGGCAGAACCGACATCTGCAGAGGAGGTGAGTTGGCGAGGTGAAGCTGACGAGAAGGGGGATCTTGACAGAGCAGGAACAGGTTGAATGCCACCCAGCCGCAGGCAGACGAATAGCAGGAAACAGGCAGGCAGAGCTCGTAGTCAGGGACAGAAGGCAGGTGGGTTTACTGAGGCTGAGGCGTGAAACAGAGGTCAGGGGCAGATCAGATCGATACCAGGTAAGCAGTCCAGAGGTGAATGATGGAGAGTCAGGCACGAGAGCGAAGACAATCTGGCAAAGAGTGAGGGGAAAGAAGCTGCACATATACTGGCCTGATTGGAGATGATGAGCAGGTGAGAGCAGCAGGTGAAAGCAGTTAGCTGATGAGGGGTGTGGCTGAGAAGCAGAGCAGGAGAGGCGCAGAGCAGACTGTTACATCCTTTGTTCAGAATTAGAAGGGTTGGACACTCTAGGGCTTTAAGTTTGTTGCTGAGTTTGATTTTTCTCTCCATGCGTTTCTTTTTTCCTGCTGTTGCATAACTGATCACCCATCCCCTATATGGGGCCTTAAATGCTTCCCAGACAGTGGAGACTGGAGAGACTGATTTTAAGTATATATCAAAGAATTCAATTGTTTTTTTCTCCCCATAAGATCGGCAAAATCAACATTCTTTGATAGATATTATTTAGCCCCCACTTTCTGGTTTTACACATGCTGGATGATAGGTGAAAAGAGACAGAGATGGGTGCATGGTCTGATGGTATGATGCTGTGAATATGGGCATCAATTACATACCAACGCGGCCCGTCTTTCCTGCTGCCCAGCTCCAGCAGCTGCTCCAGGGATGGTCTCTGATCCATGGTTAGGATCCATTATCACGGGTCGAAGCCTGAAGCTGCTTCAGCCCTGCCAGAAGATCCATGGGTCCTCCTGGGAGCTTAGCCAAAATCAACAGCAGGGCCCGCTCCCTAACCTGTGCTCGTGGAGACACAGGAGCATGCTCGTGGAGGAGTGGAAGCTCGGTGAGCTCCACTCCATGTCAGCTGGAGCTCTGGTCCATTGTGTGCAGGGATAAACACCGTGCAATGCCTCCTTCAACTCTCTCATCACCTTCGACCATCACGCTGACCTCATCACATCAACAGGTTTGATGTGATGAGCAAGAAGGATTTCCCTCCTCTGAGCAAGAATGCCCAGCAGCAGCGAGTGGCAAAACCATCCTCTGTCCACTACAAGCTGCTGAAGGAGGCTGTTGCGCAGAGGAGCCAGGCCACGGAGGTAACACCAACCCTTAGACAACTGGACCCTCCGCTGCTGGTAAAAGGTGCTTCTCGAGACTACAGAGCATCCTGGAGCCATCCAGTCCCACTCAGAAGCGTGTCCAAAAGTGTGAGGGCCTGGCCCTGGAGCCCTCCTTGCTCCCAGGTGCTCCATGGAGGTCTCCCTCATCTCAAGGCCGCCCTGGACAACTCGGGCAGGATAAGCGCACCGGGGGCGTTGCACACTTTTCCCTTGCAGCGAGACAACCGGCCCCAACGGCGGATCCTCAGGTGAGTCCTCTGTCTTGCTCCTCTGGTGATGATGTGCATCCTGGGCCACCTCAGGAGCCTGCTGCTTGTCCCTCTGTCCTCGTTGTCAGGTCATTGATGGTCTTCCACGTGCAGATTAACAGGTGCACTACTTTATGCCACCCAGGTGCACTTGTTGTTGATGTTTAAAATGCCCTCCCCCTGCTCCTACGTCACCATTCCTCTGTGTCCACTGTGGTGGCACATTTAGGATCAAATGATTTGCACTTTCAGCAGTCTGAGAAACTCAGAAATGATTTTTTCACTTAATTGACAGTGTTCTCGATGCAGCGAAATGGTGTGTAAACTCTGGTCCATTTCACTCCCCCTGCTGTGGCGACGTTAAATTCTCCCGTTCATGACAACTTCATAACTAGCTGAAGGACTACTGCTGCAACAGGGGCATTCCACACGTGGACAGCTTCACATCATTTTATACAAGAACTGATCTCTTTAAACAATCCATCCAAATTACACTGGATCCTGTCTTTTATCATTGAACATCGAACTTGCTCTGCTCTCCTGCAAGGCTTTTTCAGCATAGCAGTCCAAGCACAATTCCATAACATGCCCCACCTACCTTATTCCTGTCATCAGCACATCCAGAAAGCACTCCAGTCACTCAAAACCACCCTCAGGTGCAAATCTGAAAAATCTCAAATTTACAAACTTACGTAACCCCCCTGCTGATCCCCCCAAACCTTCACAGACCAGACTGAAAATAGCACTTTTAAATGTAAGATCTCTTTTAAACAAGTCTTTTCTGATAAATGACCTTGTTTTAGATAATAAAATTGACTTTATGGGCTCTATTTTCGTGCCTTACCGGAGACGTGACGCAGGCGTGGCGTAAGTCAGGTCCGCCGTGCCAACAAGGCGTTCCCAGCCCGGCGTAGGTATCCCCCCTCCCTAACTCAGCTCCTCCCAGCAGCGTAAGTCGTAGGGAGGGAGGAGAGAGGGTGTGGAGTGGGTTTAACACAGCCGAGACCTGTATTGACCAATAACATCAGCTCCCCTCCTCTCCTCGCCTTTAAATCCGCCACCGGCGAGACGTATTACAATTTTCGTTTAGTAGTCAAAGAGATCAAGAGATGTCTGGAGACAGCAATGCCACACGATATCGACAGAAGGCAGCCCCTCAACATGTGTCACTGTAAGCACTGCAGAGGGCGTCCTGCACACTGTCTCATATAAGCACAGATGGATTTGATGTGTGTAAGGTTGGACCCACTGGTAAGACAAAAACCCTTTTCCACAAATAAAGACACTCACATAAAGTTGCATATATTCAAACCTCATGTGACAAAGGTAGGTTGTGCACACAGATCACAACATAAATTCCAAAAATGGCATTAAAATCGGAACCATCTGTGCATAAATGACACATCGCGCTCCGTGGCCAGGCTCTTTCTTTCATAGATGTACGCATATACAATTAATTTGGCTCACAAAACTGAATATTATAATATTCGTTTGTAGGCTAAAAGTAAAAAACTCACCTGATCACTAAAACAAATCATCTGTTCAGCCGCCGCAACTGCAGCTGCAGCAGGACAGGGAGAGGACACGGAGACATGTCCAGGTCGAGCTGCGCGAGAAATAAGAGGAAGAGGAAGATAGAAAAGGAGGGAGACGAATTACATATCTTGTTAACTTCATCATGTGTGTTTATTTACTAGATATTTAATTTAATTTAATTTAATTTAATGCGGTTTCAGCTGTGTTGATTTGGTCAGGTTGTGTGTCCAAACACGTGCCAAACGCGCCTGTTAAATCCCAAATTCTCATCTCACCATCTCCATACCTGACTCCCCTGTCACTCAAGGCCAAACCACACCCCCAACATCATAAAAGCCAGCCCTCAGGCCTGCACTTCCTTTTGCACCCTGACCAAAATCAGCACAGAACAAAGGGAGTCTGAATGTGAGTTGGAAACGGACAAAGCCTTACTAAAATTTGTTGGATTCTCCTTATTTGTATTATTTCTAATATGGTTTATTCTCAAATATTATTTCACTAGATTCCTGTCAAACTAAATTCAAATGTAATGATTTAAAGCCCTGAAGTGGATGCATCTATGACGTAAGATTAGTTAACAAATTTACAAATTCATTTGACTTTATAAGTCCCCCTTTATCGAAATATTTTATGTTGATACATCTTGTTCCTATTTCTTTGATTGTCTGAACAGAAAAAATCATCCACTGAAGACAAGCGAAATAAACCGTCTAACTGAATCCTGGATCCTGTGTTTTAATGTTCACTTAATATATGATGTTCGATGAGCCAGCATTAGCGTCAACATAATCTTTTACAGCGCCCATCAGATCAGATATAGATCAGAATATATCTTTATAGATCTAAATGTATGTGCTGACTCAGATTATAAGTTGTTGTTGATTATTTATTTCACGGAAATGTGCCTGACACTGTGGAAACCTGCCGGTGAGGCATCAGTGACATATGCCGATACGCCACCGGTCTACCAAAATACCACTAGACCAGCTGCGCTCCGCTTGCGCTGAAAGCTGACCAGGTTTGAATCGATAAGCTTTCAGAGCACTTTATACGACACCAGCGAGCACGAAAATGTCACTGCGCCAGCCGATTCTGTTAACACCCCCCCCCCGCCGCGCCCCTCGCTCAGCTTGATGGACCACGGTGCGCCTCAGTCCACGAAAATACCAAACTGGCTGTACGCCGTGCTCTGCCAGATAAAAATACCACTGCACAGGCTCCACCACTGTCCGCCGCATCACCGGCGGACACGAAAATAGAGCCCTATGTTTTTAATTTAAACATGGCTTTGCACAGATGGACCTGTGACACTGATAGAGGCCTTTCCACCAAATTATGAATTCTTATATTCTTTTAGACGGGGTAAAAGAGGTGGGGGGGCAGCTACAATTCTTTAAACAGTCCCCCATACTTTGTTTAACTATATACAGACCACCTAAGCGTCACACAAATTTCATCACAGAATTTTTTCGGAGCTGCTCGCATCTATCCATGCAAGGTTTGAAACAGTTATTATTTTAGGTGATTTTAATCTGCATGTTGACAATCAATCAGACTCTGCACAGAATTTTTAAACCACCTTAATTGTATAAATTTTGTGCAACATGTAACACAGCCCACCCACAACAGAGGTCACATTTTAGATCTAGTAATAATCTGTTGTGGACGTGGGCTTGTCTGACCACTTCTGTGTTTTTTTTTTATGTAAAGGACAGTGGGAAATTCCAGTGCGCACTGTCAGGAAGCATTATCTTACTGCTGAAGTGGCTGCAGATTTTATTGATATCTTAACTGATATGCCCCCAGATGTTTTACCTTCCTCTTGTGATTTTATTGTTGAAAATTTTAACGGTAAACTTAAAATTAACACTGGACACTGTGGCACCAATGAAACCAAGAAATTATCAAGAAAACCAAAGCCTCCCTGGAAAAATATAATATAACCAATCTAAAAAGAAATTGCAGAAAAGCAGAACGGAGGTGGCAAAAGGAAAAGTTGAACGTTCATTATGAGATTTTTCAGAGAACAACTGAACATCTACAATAAATCAATCAAACAGGCCAGAAGAGTACACTTCTCAAAATAAATAAGTAACAATCAAAATAACCCACAGAAACTTTTTCCAACAGTAGACCGTTTAATCAACCCTGTCTTTAACCAACCTTATTATTTGAACCTGTCATGTGATGACCTTGCAGTCTACTTCAGCAGTAAATTAAGTTTTATCACATCAAACCTTTTACTTTCTCAGCCTTTTAAACAACTCAAACCAGCTACCTGTCTTTTAGACCCTACCTCAGCATCCCTTTTTAAAAGCTGAAGTCTTTTTAAAAGACTGCTTTAGTTAAAATTGTAAATGGACTCAGGTCCAACATGGATAAGAAGTTACTATCTGTTTTAGTTTTACTTGACCTAAGTGCAGCTTTTGATACAGTTGACCACAAAATTCTTTTAGATAGACTCCGTAATTTTATTGTAATCTCTGGCACTGTTTTTAACTGGTTTGAATCTTATCTTAGTGATAGACAGTTTTACGTGAAACTTGGGGTTTGCTCATTTAAATGTTTTGACATTCAGTATGGTGTTCCCCAAGGTTTCATTTTAGGCCCAACTCTTTTTAATCTTTATGTGACCTTTAGGGAATGTCATCAGGAGGCAGGGCATCAATTTCCACAGCTATGCTGATGACACAACTTTATGTTGTCGTGTCTCCTGATGACACAGGGCCACTCGATGCCCTTTTTAACTGCATTTTAGACATTAAATCATGAATGTCAGAGAACTTTTTATAGCTCAACCAGGACAAAACTCAGGTTTTAGTCACTGGGACAGGCGACAAGAGAGAAACTGGTCAGCAAACTCAAAGCATTATCCTACAATCCAAGTCAACAAGCTAAAGATTTAGGTGTTTTATTTGATTCAGAATTGAGCTTCGAGCCTCATATGTGATATCACCAAGGAGGCATTTTATCATTTTAAAAACATAGCTGGACTGTGACCATTTCTCTCAAGCCAATGCAGAGACATTAATTTATGCTTTTATCACTTGTAGAATAGATTATTGTAATGCACTCCTTTCTGGTCTCCCCAAAATAACTTTTCACACCTGCAATTACTACAAAATTCAGCTGCATGGATGTTAACAAGGACCAGGAAGAGAGATCACATTACACTGATTTTAAGGTCTCTGCATTGGCTAGCTGTCTCTTTTAGAATAGATTGGGTTGCTTTATTGGTTTTTAAAGCTCTTAATGGCTTTGGCCCTTCTTATCTATCTGATCTTCTTTAACCTTATGAGCCAGGTAGTCCTCAGGTCTTCAGGAAGTTCTCTGTTAACATTACCTAAAGTTAAAACCAAGACATACTGTGAGGCATCTTTTTATTACTATGGCCCCCGTCCATGGAACAGTTTACCTGAAGACCTGAGAACTGCACCTAATCTTAATGATTTAAAAAGTAAACTAAAAACATACCTTTTTAGTCTTGCTTTTAACTAAATTTTATATCATTAACTGTGTTTAAGTGTTTAAGCATTTATCTATTCTAGTTTTGATCACAGGATCGTCTTTTATTGAGCTATTTCGGTGCTCTTATTTTAGTATCTCTTACTGTTGTTTAATTTAATTTTATTTATTTTGTCTTCAATTTCATTCCATGTTTCTTTGTTTTTAGATTTTAACCTAAACCTCCAGTGTTTCCTTATCTTGAGTTTTAAAATGACGTTTCCTCAGTGCGCACATTCCTGTTTTCACGAAATCAAGCCCTTTTTAAGTTTATGCATTTTAATACTGTTTCTGTTGCATTTAGATCTTGGGGTGGGAATTAGGGGTTGGGCTGGGGTAGATTTGGGTATTCTTTTAATCTTAGGTTGGGGTAGATTTGGGTATTCTTTGTTTCTTTTTTTCCCCCTATTTCTGTGTAAAGCACTTTGTGCTACATGTTGTCTTTATAAAGCGCTATATAAATGAGGACTGTTTGTTTGATTGATTGATTGATTGATTGATTGATTGATTGATTGATTGTGTCACAATTCAGAGATTTTCAATGTGCAAGCATTTTATGTCTTTTTACAGGGTTTTGAGCACCATCGACATTCCAACTCACCACTCTAATGTTACTAATAGTCAGGGGCAGATCTAGAAAAATATTTATAGGGTGGCAAGAGGGAGGCAGGAATTTCTTGGCAACCTATATCAGATGCATATAAACTGAAGCAGTTATCGTAGTTTGATGAGAAATAGACTATTTATGCTGAAGGATTCCTGCTTGCAAGACAAATGGACTGTAATAAGGTCAGCATAAATACACAATGGAAATAAATGGGTCACGGCACTTAAACAAGGCACTGGACATTGCTTTTATTGATTGCATCAACATCAAAATCACAATAAACCTGAATAGAGGTCCCATATGAATACATTTAGCTTCCAGTCAGAAAAACTACAAAAATATTTTGTAACTATGTTTATACAGGTTGTTTCTGTACAGTAATATACACAAAATAAGAGCTATCAAAAAACAAGAACAGCAAAATCACTACTTCATGTTCAGCTTTTTACACTGGTGTCACATTTTCGACTCTTTATTTTTAAGGTTTTATCTATCAGATTTGCTCAGTAACCAAAACAGAGATATACAGAAATTTAAAGAGCAGATTCAGTTGAGGGAGGAGAGGGTCAGCTAAGATTTCAGTACTTTTCCAAAAACAAAACAAAACCTCAGAAATATGCAAAAAGGCAATTAATACATGACATATTCATACAAAATATCTTAGAGCAGCCTTGAGTTTTCATATAAGTCTGTATGATAGTGATATCAGTGAGCATATGAAGATGCTTATAACAGTTGAGTGCGCCGATTTCCATGCTGCTCAGCAAAACGCTTTCTGAATTTATCAAGATCCAATGCTTTTGTGCGTTTAGATTCAATGCTGAGTACAGCCAAACTTGATAGTCTCCTTTCTGTCATAGTAGACCACAAATAAGTCTTTATCAGCCTTAGAGATGAAAAACTCTGTTCACAGGAAGCACTGGTTACAGGCAAAACAACAGCTATTTTACACAGCCTGAACAACTCATAAAATACATCCTGGTATGGGTCCAAAAACTGTGTGAACGCCATTAGAGTGGTAGGACTCTCCTCTCCCCCCTTTTTTCGGTCTAGTACTCTCTTCGTCTGATTTAACTCGTGTTTTAGATCCTCTATATTTGAGTCATATGCATTAGCTAATAACAGGACAGCTTCCTCTCTCAAAAAAGATGGACTGGACGGGTTTAGTGCCTGGACACGCTGCATGATGTTACAGTTTGTGTTAGAAAATCTTCTTACCATTTCTCCAATCATTGAATCCAGAACTGGATAATACACAGATACACAAAAAGTGTATTTGCTGTCCGAACTACATACTGTCCCAAAGTAGAGTTGATGACACTATCCTGAAGCACCTTTGTTGTCTGTCTTGGCCTCTTTGGTTTTTTGTGAGTTGTATCAATGTTACTTTGTTCACATAAATCAAGTATTTCAGTCCACATTTCATCAAAAGAAGTTTGACTATGATATTTCACCAGTGTCTCTTTGAGTGCTTCAATAAGCTCAACAGCCTTAGTGTAGTCCACTGTTTTAGACTGGAGCATGTCAGACAAATATTTGGAGTCACTCAGGACTTTTCTGAAAAGAACAAGAGAGCCAGCAAAATTGAGATCTGTCTGAGCCAGTATCCCTCTTGCTTCAACTGCTCTTTGTGGATGGTTCTCGAATGCAATCTCTTCAAGCACCTGTACTATTGCAGGCAACCTGTCCATAACATTGCAACATGCTATGTGTTTTGCCACTTCAAACTCCAAAAAACTCTCATGAACCACACCATTGTAATAATATCGCAAAACAAACGACATTTGCTCCTTTTTCTGCACATCTTTAGTTTCATCAACAATAACTGAAAACTGCTTGCTAATTTTAACTTCCTGTATGATTTCTTCTTTAACCATTGCAGCCAGGCATTCAAGTATTTCATTTTGTATGGTTTTACTCGTGTATTTTGCGTTTTTAGCATGTTGTTCAAGTCTATTTTTAATGATGGGGTTATGGTTACCCAGCAGGTCTAGCATAGACAGAAAACTAAAACTAAAATCTCTGCAAGTGTTTTAATGTAGTACTGATTTTCAGCCACCTGCCCCTTTTTTTGTTAATCCATTACCCCAAACATTGAGCTGTTTTTATCCGTGTTTCTTTTATTTTCTGCCCATGCAAACATTGCATTGATATGGCCTTCAGATCTTGCATGAGAAGCAAAACCACTGTCTTTCATTGTTGCTTTTTTCCAATTTCGATATCCATCAAATGAAGTAAACACAGTCTTGGGAGTGTCTGGAAGGGAAAAATGACGACAGGCAAAACAGTATGCTACGTCCTTGGACTGAGAGTACTCTAACCAGGGGTTAGCTTGGTACCACTGACAGCAAAATGTCAATTTCGGTAATTGTCCTTTTTAGTAACTTGGTCAATTATGCAGAAACAATTTCCATACCATGTGGACCAGCTCTACTGGAGGTCGCTGGTGATGGCTCAGGCACTGTCCTTTCCCTTTCCTGTCTCTTTGCCATCTCTTTTTGGTGGTGCACTCCTTCCTCCACATGTTCTCCCACCTCCTCCTGTTTGTGGTAATCTTGGTCAGATTTTCTTTGCTCGTCTCTCTCTTCCACCAGCTTGTCTTTATCTTCACCCTCTACTTCCACCTCATGGTTGTCTCTCCTTTAACGTCTTCTCTCTCTCCTTCCACCTTTTCTTCATCATCTCTCTCGCCTTCCACCTCATGCTTGTCTCTCTCTTCTTCAACGTCTTCTCTCTCTCCTTCCACCTCATGTCCTTCTTCATTTTGTACTCTGGCCCTCTTGAAAAAAGGGTCCCTTTTCTCTTCATTTCTGTAAGATTCAAAGTAAATTTGCAAGGTTTCCCTTTACAGAAACTGAATCAATATTCAGTGTGTTTGTAAGCTATAATGTGTGGATCACTGTCTGTGTTGATATGCTAGCAAGACATATGGGGTTAATTTCGGCTCGATTCTGTGGGTTTTTAGCAGAAACACGGCCACTTTGGACTCTGATTTTTCTTCCTGTGATCGTCTTTTCAGCCCTTAGCATAGCTCACACATGCCCAGCCCCATTATTCGATTGAGTAGCAGAGAATTGAGTCCGGAGTGTAGTCACATTGTGCTTTCCTTATCATTTCGTTTTTTGATAGATATAAGAAAATGGCTTTTCCTCGTGCCTTCCTCCTTGGCTCCCGACTGGCTCTCTCTCGCTTCGCACCCATAGACTGTATGTTCGCGCCTCTCCAGTCAAAGAAGTCTTGTGTCGCTCTTGCGCTCTCTCGTGCTGCATTCACTGTCGTCGGACATTGGAACTTCACACTCGTAACTGTTACATTTTTCTATCAGTTCATTGCTGCCAGTTGGGGTGGCAGCAGGGGTGGCAAGGATTAATTTTAGGGTGGCACCTGCCACCCCGGTAGATCCGCCCCTGCTAATAGTGTTGTTCATACAAAGAGGTGGGGGGGGGGGGGGGGGGGGGGAGTGCCTCTGTGTTCGTCAGGGAGAGGTGAGTACAGTCGAGGCTACTACAATAGGCCCCAGACCCAATATTGCGAGGATTTGAGAAACCAAAAGAAAAAAGAATAAAAAAAGGGGTAACCCTATTGCAGTGGGGGTGTCAGTTGTATAATGAAAATACCTAAAACCCCTTTTCATGCATGGCTTAACATGTTTCTTAATGCTCATTAAGCAGTCAAAAAAAATTCTAAAAAAAAAATCATGCTCAAAGTGTCAGAACAAAGAGGAAAAAAAAAACCAACCAAACAAATACACTGAGCCCATTCAAAGAGCAACACTGCTGCCCGGACATTGAGCTGTCGGATGTTTGTCTGAGACCCTACTATCTGCCACGGGAGTTCTCACACACCATTGTTGTGGTTGTGTACAGTGGATATAAAAAGTCTACACACCCCTGTTCAACTGCCAGGTTTTTTTCATGTAAAAAGATTAAATCAAGATAAATAATTTCTCAACTTATTCCACCTTTAATGTGACCTATAACCTGTACATTGCAATTGAAAAACAAACTGAAACCTTTAAGGGGAAAAATAAAAAATAAAAAAGTTAAAATAACCTGGTTGCATAAATATGCACACCAATACCAATACTTTGTTGCAGCACCTTTGGCTTTTATTACAGCACTCAGTCTTTTTGGGTAGGAGTCTATCAGCGTGGCACATCTTGATGTGGCAATATTTGCCCACTCTTCTTTGCAAAACCGCTCCAAATCTGACAGATTGCAAGGGCATCTCCTATGCACAGCCCTCTTCAGATCACCCCACGAATATTTGATGGGATTCAGGTCTGGGCTCTGGCTGGGCCATTCCATAGCCTCAATCTTATTCCAGTGAAGCCATTCTTTTGTCGATTTAGCTGAAGAAAAACAGCCCCAAAGCATGATGCTGCCACGACAATGCTTCACTGTGGGTATGGTGTTCTTTTGGTGATGAGCAGTGTTGATTTTGCGCCAAATGTACCTTTTGCAATGATGCCCAAGAAGTTCAATTTTGGTGTCATTAGCCCATAACACATTTTCCCACATGCGTTTGGGAGATTTCAGATGTCTTTTTGCAAAATTAAGCCAGGCTTTGATGTTTTTCTTTGTAAGATAAGGCTTCCGTCTTGCCACCATACCCCGTAGCCCAGACATATGAAGAAGACAGGAGATTGTTGTCACATGTACTACACAGCCAGTACTTGCCAGAAATTCCTGCAGCTCCTTCAGTGTTGCTGTCGACCTCTTGGGAGCCTCCCTGACCAGTTTTCTTCTTTGTCCTGTTCTTGGTAATGTCACTGTTGTGCCATATTTTCTCCACTTGATGATGGCAGTCTTCACTGTGTTCCATGATATATTTGTTTCCTTGGAAATTATTTTGTAGCCTTCACCTGACTGATATCTTTAAATAATGAGATCCCTCTGATGCTTTGGAAGCTCTCTGCGGACCATGGCTTGTGCTGAAAGATCTGGCTACAAAAATATCAGGAAAAGCCTACTAGAACAGCTGAACTTTATTTGGGGTTGATCAGAGGCACTTTAATTGGTGACAGGTGTGCTGACTCCAATTTAACCTGAGTTTGACTGTTATTGGTTAAATGTGAACACAGCCACATCCCCAGTTATTCAAGGGTGTGCACACTTATGCAACCACATGATCTCAGTTTTTTATTTTTACTTCACCTCCCTGAAAGACTTCTGTTTGTTTTTCAATTGTGTTGTACAGGTTATAGATCACATTAAAGGTGGAAGAAGTTGTAAAATTATTCATCTTGATTTAATTTTTTTACATGACAAAAACCTGGCAGTTGAACAGGGGTGTGTAGACTTTTTATATCCGCTGTATATTCCTCCCTCTGTTAACACTGATGCAGCCTGTGACATCATCAATACCGTGATCAACAGGCTGCAGACTCAGAGCCCTCAAGCCCTCTTACTGATCTCTGGGGACTTTAATCATGCCTCTCTGTCCTCCACTCTGCCAAAATTCATCAACTATGTCACGTGTCACCAGATACAATAAACACTGGACTTACTCTATGCCAACACCAAGGAGGCATATAACTCATCACTCCTTCCCCCTCTGGGAAAAGCTGATCACAACCTGGTCCATCTCCTGCCTGTTTACAAGCCCTTTTGTGAACAGGCAACCAGCTGTGTCCTGCACGGTAAAGAGGTGGCTGTAGAGGCTCTAAAGGACTGCTTTGAAACACTGAGTACATAAACTTCTGTGTGGAGAATATTGTACCCACCAGAACTGTACGGTACTTCTCTAACAACAAACCCTAGATTACTCCTGACATTAGGGCTCTTTTAAAGGAGAAGAAGAGGGTCTAGAGGTTTTAAGTCAAGGAATAAAGAGGAGCTGATGACTGTTAAGAGGGAGCTGAGGAGGAAAATCAGGGAGGAGAAGTACAGCTACAGGAAGAGGATGGAGGAACAGCTGAATTAGAACAACACCAAGGGAGTCTGGAGAGGCCTGAAAACCATTGCAGGCCATCCAGGGCCGTATGCACGTTGAAAGCGTTTAGCGTAAACGCGATTAGAGCTTAAACGCGTTTAGTTATACGGGCCTTAAACGCGTTTAGTTCCTATACCATTTTGGTATGCACAATGCTGTAAACGGAAACGTATAGCTAACCGCGTTTACCGTGTCTTAAACGCTAAAGATGTTTATAGAATTGGGTCAACCGGTCTGTTTTTAGTGTTGTGTACTTTCGGTTGAGAACGGCCATTTTCAACCATGGATAAGCCGGCTAAACGTGCACGGAAGTCAAATTTCAGCGACGAAGAAGTCCGAGTACTTCTTGAAGAAATACAACTTGAGCATGTAACGTTATTCAGCAGCCACAACGCAACCATCACGAGGGAGGTGCAAAAAGAAGCTTGGGCGAGATTCCTTAAAGGCACTTGGCAGTAAATTCAACAAAAGTGCTTTTTGTCTTTTTTCTATGCTCCTTTGGGTTCCATTTTGTACAGTTACACAGATTAGACAGACCTCCTGCAACTGTTAAGGAATCTGAATCAATAAAATAAAAATTAAAAAAAAAAAGGATTCCAATCCTAACCCTACATCACACAAGTGTTCTATACTTGTTGGGTAATATTACAGTACACATTATTAAACAACTAATGCACTGCCTAACATGGCGCAAATAAACCATTCAATGGCCATACTACTGTCTGCCAAACCAATGTGCTAGAGTTGACTTTCTAACTGGCCACTGAAAATCAGTGATTTGAGTGAGTTCTGCAATAATAAAAGAGTAAAACAATTACACAATAATTACTATTGTAAAAAGTACAGTAAACAGCAACAACAAAACACTCTCAATGAGTAACCTAAAGTGACACTTTCAACAGTGCAATCAATGTTAAGGGAGGGGAGGTGGCGTTAGACTTGTCGGTGATGTGGTGTACTCTTTTTAAGTGGGTCTGCATGTTTGTCGTGCTGCCGTTGTACGGCTTCTTAACGCGGCATTCTTTGCAAATGACGGACGTTTTGTCGAGCTTTCCGTCTTTCTTTGCAAATCCGTAGTGTTTCCAAACATATGATTTAAACGTAGCGGGTGCATTACATATAAACTCTTCCTCGCTGCTGCTCACTTGAATGTGGTCCATGCTGTTTTACTAGTAGTGCATTGTATGTCCCTCACAACTTCCGTCCATATTCAATACAAAACGTGAAATAATGATGGTGCATTCAATGTGCCTGGGGAACAGCAGATTGGGTGAAGTTTAACATGAATAAAACGGCGCTTGCATCGGATTTTACAGATACCCACCAACGCATCTAAATGAATCTAGATTTAACCCATCAATTGCATCGATACCCAGTGAATGAGCCGACGCAGTCGCATCGCGCACATGCGCATCGATGCATCGATTAATTTAGATTATTTTCCACACCCTTAATACACACACAGTAATGTGAGTCATTTTATATCACCCCAGTAAAATGGTCAAACTATCATTACAGATAATGAGTCGTTCGTTCAAGTGGAGAGTTCGGATGGAGAACCCCTTTTCCTGGTGGTGCAGCAAGACAACGGCGACGTGTCACTTGAGAAACTCAGTGGAGTGCCAGTCCCTCGGCCTGTCATTGTAGAGGAGGAGAAGAAGAAGAAGAAACATGATGTGATGAAAATGCAGAAGACACCGCGTACTTCTAACACTAAGAGTAGTGACACGGATAATCATCAAGAATTGATGAATCAGTATCTGAGAAGTGAGATTGAAACAAACAGACTCAAGCAGGAACTGCTTGAGTTGAAAAAAATCAAAACACGCTTGGAAATTGAGAAACTGAAGCAGAAATAGAATTGAATGGTGTATCAGTCCTTGTCATTGACATGTACACTCATTTCTAATGTTTCTTTTGCTCTGTTTAGCTTATCACCCTTAAATTCTTTCGTTTCTAGTTATTCTATCGCTTCTAGTCCAGAGATAGGTCTAGTGAAATACACTCATTATGAACATTCATTTTGATGCTACAATTTGGATATAGCTCAAACGGGAAACTGGGGGTTCTGTAACAGTCTGCTCTGCCCTCTCCTGCTCTGCTGCTCAGCCACACCCCTCATCAGCTAACTGCTTCCACCTGCTGCTCTCACCTGCTCATCATCTCCAATCAGGCCAGTATATATGCAGCTTCTTTCCCCTCACTCTTTGCCAGATTGTCTTCGCTCTCATGCCTGACTCTCCAGCGTTTATCCTCGGACTGCTTACCTGGTATCGACCTGATCTGCCCCTGACCTTTGCTTCTCGCCTCAGCCCCGGTAAACCTACCTGCCTTCTGTCCTGGACTACGAGCTTTGCCTGCCTGGTTCCTGCTATTCGTCTGCCTGCAGCTGAATGTCACTCAGCCTGTTCCTGCTCTGTTGAGATCCCCCTTCTCGTCAGCTTCACCTCGCCAACTCACCTCCTCTGCCGACGTTGGTTCTGCCAGCTCCTCTGCAAGCTCTGGATCCTCACCCAGTCCTCACCTGAACCACTCTCCAAGAAATCTTCCTCCAGCTGTGAGTTGAGCGTTTTCCCCTTCACTACACTCGTAGAGCAAATTAAGACTGTGGACAATTCCCTGCTCACGAGTTCAAAACTCTTGCCTGACCTGTGGTCCACTGCTAATCTGCTCGCCTATCACCCGGAAGACCCGAGTTCGAATCCTGCCATACCCACCTGCTATACTCTGCTGCTTCATTGGATTTGGTGTTAAATAAAGACTGTTGTTAAAGTGAACCTGCTTGTTTGTGCTGCAATTGGGTCCAGTCAATACCCGTTACAATTACCCAAGGTGATGTGTGTTTATTTTGCACTTTGTTCTTTAAATAAATTGTCTGAACGCAGTAGATGTTTCGTGTGTATTTGTCAATGGATGAGGCAGTCACAAGGTGAAGACTTACCTGTGTGGCATTACACTGAGTGTGGTACATGACAGACTCACCTGTTGATATCTAGAAGTTGTTGTTGATGAAGCGTTGTCTGGCGACTTTGCCGGCAGCGACTCGGGCTCGCTCTGTCATCTGTCTCTGGACGGGTCGTTGTTGTTCAGCCTCGTTATCTGAATCGCTGTCGTCTTCACTGGAACTTGAGTCACTACTGTCAGAATCTGAGGGTACATCCAAGTTCAGTCGTCTTGCTCTGTTGTTGAGCATGATGCACACAACAATCACCTTGCATGCCTTGTGTGGGGCCAGGCGAAGACGTCGAAGGCCATGCCAGCGTCGTTTCAATACGCCGATGCTCCTTTCAACAGTAGAGCGAGCAGACATGTGTCTGGCGTTGTCGTTCTTTTCAGCACTTGTTGTAGGATTTGAAAGAGGCGTAAACAACCAGTCACGCTGCATATACCCACTGTCGCCAAGGATAACACCATTCACGGGTTTTCTGGCATTGTTTTCAAACGCTTGGAACAGTGAACATTCACGCAGCATCCTCGCATCATGGACACTCCCCGGCCACTTGGCCACACAGTTGATGAAGATGAGATCAGCATCACAGATGACCTGATAAAAGAAAAAGTGAATCAATGAACATCATACTCACACTCTCGGTCCAGTTACTACACCCCACACACACACACGCACCCCCCACACACCCCCACAACCTCCCCCTACACAACCCCCCCCCCCCCCCCACACACACACACACACACACACACACACACACACACACACACATTGGGAGCTATTGAAGTGAAAGGGAGTCCTACCTGTACATTTATGGAGTGATAGCCTTTGCGATTCACAAATTCATGTTCCTGCTGCCGTGGTCGCTGGATTCGCACCTGTGTGCCATCTATACATCCAACTGTGTTGGGGAACCCGTAGCTTTGGTAAAACTGTCGCTTGGTTCGGTTCGCCCTGGCTTGATCCGGGAAATATATACAGTACAGGCCAGAAGTTTGGACACACCTTCTCATTCAATGTCTTTTCTTTATTTTTTATATGACTATTTACATTGTAGATTATCACTGAAGGCATCAAAACTATGAATGAACACATGTAGAATTTTGTACTTATAAAAAAAAGTGTGAAATAACCGAAAACATGTTTTATATTCTAGTTTCTTTAAAATAGCCACCCTTTGCTCTTGATGACAGAAGTACCTTGTCAGGGTTACTTCAGGCACTCCTGTGAAGTAAAAACCATTTCAGGTGACTACCTCATGAAGCTCATTGAGAGAACAGCAAAAGTTTGCAGCGCTATCAAAAAAGCAAAGGGCGGCTACTTTGAGAAATCTAAAATATAAAACATGTTTTCAGTTATTTCACACTTTTTTTCTTAAGCGCATGATTCCACATGTGTTCATTCATAGTTTTGAGAATCTACAATTTAAATAGTAATGAAAACAAAGACAATGCATTGAATGAGAAGGTGTGTCCAAACTTTTGGCCTGTACTGTATGTTGCCTGGCTTGTCTGAAGAATGCATCAGTCACTCGAGTGACGGTTCGACTGACTGTCGACTGATCCACTCCTACCAACTCCCCACACACGTCTTGGAAAGAAGAAGTGGCGTAGTACCGTAAGGTTACGAGGACTTGTTGTAGTGGAGTGAGGGCGAATCCTCGGTTCGAAAGTTCTATTTCAGCGGAAATCTCCTGTGTGAGGTCGAGAATATGGTGCCGTCGAAATCTAAACTTACGGAACACTTTGTGGTCGTCATACGTGTCGAAGGGTGTTTTCTGTCACGAAAAATCCTGTTTCGACGCAATTGTCGCCGCTGTCTTTCTTGGAAAAACAAGAGTGCCGCCATATTTAAACGCGTTTAGACCCGCTATTGGACCCCCAGAGGTGCGATAACTTTAAATGCGAAAATCCGTTTAGGAACAGCTATACGAAGTGACGTGCATACGGACATTTTTGGCGTTTTGCCGAGCAACGTGCATACGGCCCCAGGAGTCCAACTCCCTGGCAGCTGGGGACCAAAAGTGGGCAGATGAACTTAACACCTACTTCTGTAGGTTTGAGGATGTATCTGCCCCTCCCCTAGCTGTGGCAGCCCTGCAGCAGCCCCCATCCTTTGATCCTCCAGTGCCCTGCCCAAGCCCCTCCATCACCTCCCCCACTACAGCATTCAGCTCACCACCACCACCAGCCCTACCCCCCTCTGCTCCTTCCAGCTCCCCATCTGCATCACATGACACACAGCCCCCCTGCTCCAGCCTGTCCCTCATACTCTCCAGGTGAGGAATCAGCTCAGGAGGATCAAGACCAGGAAGGCGGCAGGACCAGATGGCCATTGTCCAAGTTTGCTCAGGTCCTGCTCAGACCAGCGAAGTGGGATCCTTGGACATCTGTTCAACTTAAGCCTGAAACTGGGAAGGGTACCGCACCCCTGGAAGGCATTCTGCGTGATACCAGTTCCAAAGACTCCACAGTCCAAGGACCCGAGCTGCTTCAGACCAGTGGCCCTAACATCACACCTCATGAAGGCCCTGGAGCGGCTGGTCCTTGCCCACCTGCGCCAGTGAGCTCATCCATGGACCTGCTGCAGTTAGCATACCAGACTGGTATCGGAGTGGACGACACCATCATCTTCCTCGTTCAACGAGCTCTGTCTCATCCAGAGTCGCCAGGGAACTCTGTCCAGGTCCTTTTACTGGACCTCAGCAGTGCTTTTAACACCATCAGGCTGGCCATCCTGAGGGACAAGCTGGAGCTCTCCAGAGTGGACCAACACCTCACATGCTGGATTGTAGATTACCTCACCAACCGCCCACAGTATGTGAGGACTGTCCTCTGTAGTATAGGGCCCCCCCAGAGAACAGCACTGGCACCATTCCTCTCCACCCTCTACATTGCAGACTTTTCCCACCTGCCACCTGCAGAACTCTCTGATGACTCTGCCATCATCGGCCTCATCACCATGGGATGATTGACCAGTCAAACAGAGAACTTGTCCAGGACTTTGTGGACTAGTGACAGCGGAACCACTTCCAGTTTAACGCTGGAAGGACAAGGGAGTTGGTTGTGGATTTCCGCACTTTACAAAAAAAAAGGACAAAAAAGGACAGAGTAGACTATCTGCTCAGGAGGCTGAGGTCTTTTGGGGTCCAGGGGGCACTCCTGAAGACCTTCTACAACTCTGTGATGGCCTCTGCCATTTTCTATGGAGTGGTCTGCTGGGGGAGCAGCATTAGGAAGAACTACAGCAGCTGACAGGAAGAGGCTGGACAAACTCAGAGGAAGGCCAGCTCTGTCCTGGGATGGCTTCTGAAACTTGTGGAGGAGGTGGAGGAGAGGAGGATTACAGCCAAGCTGTCCTCCATGCTGGACAGAGACTTTCACCCCCTCCAACAAACACTCACTGCACTGAAGAGATCCTTAAGGGACAGGATGCTTCACTTGCAGTGTGGGACGGAAAGGTATCGCAGGTCATTCCTTAATGCAGCAGTTAGACTCCACAACAGAAACCTTAGCATGCAATAAACTAAATTTATATGTGTATTCTGTACACATGCATAATGTGTACACACGTATCCTTATTCTGTGTATAAAGACATACATATAAATACCTCCAGTTGTTAAACTGTGACATATCAAACATGTACATACCAGCTGTAAATAACACTCATGTATATATATTTTTTAACTCTAATTTTCTTCATCCTGTAATTTCTCTTTTTGTGTTTATATGCTGTTGTAATTTGGAATTTCCCCCTGTAGGACTACTAAAGAAATATCTTATTTTATTTTATCTTATCTTACCAAAAATTCCAGTACAAACCACAAAAAAAGCAAGAAAAGTGGCCAAAAAGTACAGAAATCCTTAGCTCCAAAAGAAATGTCTTTCAGTCTGTTAGCCGATCTCATAGAGTGAAAAAAATATATAGTCGAAGTACAAAAGATGAAGATATCCATAATCCAGCGGTTTAAAACTCACTGATGCACAATACTTTTGTACACCAAACTTCTCAGATTTTTATTTGTAAAAAAATTTAAAAGCCATGTATACATTTTATTTTACATCACAATTATGTGCCACTATATGTTGATCTATCATATGGAATCCTAATAAAATATATTTACATTTGTGGTTGTAAGGTGAAAAATTTGGAAAAGTTTTTCAAGCCACTGTAGGGAGTATTTATGGGGGTATATATGGGGATATATATGAGGGTATATACAAGGGGTGTAAATGAGATTCTATATTGGGGGTGAGTGGGGGAATATTCCTATTTCATATTTATTAAAAATTCCTGTAAGGAACTTATAACTAGATTTGAATAAATCTCTCTTTTCTGCTGATGTCTCCCTGTCACCTGCAGCAGCGAATGAGTCCATCTATGTGAAGATAAGATATTTCTAAATAATGAAAATGGGGAATATGGGGGCCAGTGGTCGGGTCGGGACCACGAACGAAATGATTTCCGACACTCAGAACAGAGATTACATGCGTGTTTTTTCTCTTTATGGTGCACTGAAAATGCGCACCGTCACTATACAAACGGTGACAATGTCTTGCAGCAGGAGACTCCTGCAGACACTGTGTCATGCTACAGCTGCAGCCACGGAGTGAGAAGCTCCACCACACCGGAGACAGACAGGCAGAGAAGCTTTGTGTCACTCACCTCAGTGGTCTTGCTGCTCCACCTCTGTCTCACACTCCGCAGCAGGCTGACCCAGACTGGCTTCCCTATTTAAATACATTTACAAAGTAAGTTGCCTCAAACTGCTCACAAAAAAGTTAGTTTCTGGTGCCCTGACGTGTCAGCCAGATAAGTGTCTTTACGACAACCCATGCTAAAACACTACCACTTTTGTCCATAGTGGCTGCCAAAATCAACAAGAAAAGGAAAAATCCTTCCAGCTGCTTTAAAAGAAATGTGTCAATGGAGCTACACATGTGAGCTTCTTTAGACAGACAATTTGAGCTGCACTGATTTCACTTGCCATGTGTATGCCTCACTATCACCTAAGAAATAAAGCCCACTTATTTAGTCTATCAGCCACCACTGCCCTGAAACTCTGCTGCACTTCAACTTTAACCTCCAGCATCCACCTGCAGGCTTCAACTTTGGAGTGATAGGGTTAGGTAATTTCTTTTTCTAGTTCACTTGCACTTTATAAATACTAGACAACAAAGAACAATTGCAGCTAAAACATTGTGGAGAGGTTGGAAGCCGCAAAAGGATTATGAAGATGCCTCCCCTCGAGGATGGACAGATAAAACAAGCAGCAATTCAGGTAAGTTTGAAAAGAAAAATGACATGATATTGAAGATTGTAAAGATGAAGGTAAATGGCTTCCAATAGATGCTCCTCTGTATTTCAGAGTGAACTGATTACGGGCAGTCTGTGACACAGGACTTCACTGCAGGACCAGTGACCCTGGGCTTGAACTGAAACCATCAGGAGGCTGTGTCACTTTATTTTGCAGGACCAACATTTACACATCAGTCCTCTGAGTGCTGTCATTAAAACTCTAAACATCAAGAATCTGTGAAACACTGCCTGCAGAAATCTAGGGAAAAAGTCCAGTTTCAGGAGCTGTCAGACAGACTTAATGCAGCTCTGATTCCTAAAGTGATGACGCAGGTGGACATGATCCAAAGAACAAAAGTGAACATCAGCAGACTCACATCTGGCCTGGACAAACTCCACGCACGTAGCTGTCTGACAGGTGCACTGGTTTAAATCCAGGTGTACGTCTCCACTGCACCATGTGGGTATGGGCTCCCGATGTTTACTGGAAGAAAGTTGGACTAGAGTCCACAAAATCTGACTTAACAGAGAGCAACTCTTTGGGTGAAACATAGCTATAGAGTTTCAGGGAAAGTTTAATATGATCAGCTAAAAACCTAGTGCATAAAAAATGGACACAGTTTTACATTTACAGGGTCTGACATCAGTGCAGATTGTTTCTGCAGACATGTTCTTAGTTTGTGACTAGCTGATTCAGACTGAAAAAGAAACAAAAGTGGAGTTGAATTATTCTCTTTGTTATTGTGTTGACCAGAGATGTCTTGTTACTACATGGTTAAACACGGTCCCCCACTCGCCTTCACCTGAATTAATGATCAGATACAAATGATCTCTAAAACTGTCAGCCTGAAGTTTTAGCTGTTGTGCAGTCACCCACTATTGAAGGAGGCTGTAGCTCTGGCTGGAACACACTGGCCCTCATTTATCAACCTTGCTCAGATCTGAGTGCAGATCTGAGCGCAGGATTCATCATACGATAGGACACACGTGAGATTTATGAAAGGGTTCGTATCTGACCAATCCCAGCGTACGTATGATCGGGTCTTGATAAATGCGGCGGCTGAAATCGATCGTCATTAACATGTTACGCCCTTAAATATTCGTGGTTCAGAAGCCTCACCCACTGAGGTCAAACATGAAAGAGGAGAAATATTAGAAAGATTCAAAACTTTTCTGAGCTGAAAGTGGATATCCTCGCGTCTGTGGTGGAAACTAACAAGGATTTGCTCTTTGGGAGCATCAAAACTGGTAGTCCAGAAAACTCCTGTCTGGAGCAGGGTTATGGTGGCGGTGAACAGCGCTGCCGCTCATGATCAAGTTGCTCATGATGATAATTTAATATCTCATACATGCCTCATATTTTTTTTATTGCCATGACACAGGGTAAGTTGCTCCTATTATTGAAAGTATTTAGTTTTAATTTGTTGCATCTTTGTAATGTAGAGCAGACTGGAGAGTC